GGAGAGCGGCTTCTCTTTATCCGAACAGGTTCCTGCCAAGATGCTCCCTTACTTGGACAGCGTTGATGGCCAGCTCCGAAGGGCTGCGGCTCGATCCCTGGCCGAGGCCTGCAGTGCGCACAAATCCACCCTCGAGCCAACCCTGGAGTCTCTTAAGTCTTCTTACACCGAGCTTGCCAAGCCTCGCGTTCCTCAGTTGGACGAGTACGGCATGCCCAAGAAGACCAACCTGGCGGATCCATGGGAGTCGCGGCACGGCATCGCATCCGCTTTCAGGGAGCTGGCCCCCCACATGGCAAAGCAGCAGCTCGATCCTTTCTTTGAGTTCCTCATCGAGAACGGACCTCTGGGCGACCAGAACGCAAATGTCCGCAGTGAGATGCTGGACGCGGCTATTCGAGCTATTGATTTTCATGGCAAGAGCATGGTTGACAAGCTGATGAAGGTGTTTGAGCGCACACTCGAGGGATCCGACAAGAACACGGAGGCCTCGGACCGTGTCAATGAAGCTGTCATCGTCATGTATGGCGCGCTCGCCCGCCATCTAAACCCGGGCGACTCCAAGCTGCCTGTCGTCATTGATCGCCTGCTGGCGACCTTGAGCACCCCCTCGGAGACTGTGCAGTACGCCATTGCCGACTGTCTGCCGCCGTTGGTGCAAGCCTACGGAGACAAATCGTCAAAGTATTTCGCTCAGGTCCTCGAGACACTGCTGACATCCAAGAATTATGCCGAGCAGCGAGGTGCCGCCTACGGTCTGGCCGGACTCGTGCAAGGCCGTGGCATTTCATCGCTCAAGGATCAGCGTATCATGATGACGCTTAGGGGAGCCATCGAGAACAAGAAGGAAGCAAACCAAAGAGAAGCATCGCTGATTGCATATGAGCTTCTCTCCACCATCCTTGGCCGTCTCTTCGAGCCATACGTCATTCAGATTGTCCCGCAGCTGCTTACTGGGTTTGGCGATAGCAATGCCAACGTCAGAGACTCGTGCCTCGCGGCGGCAAAGGCCTGCTTTGGCAAGCTGAGCTCATACGGTGTAAAGAAGATTCTCCCCACCCTGCTGAACGGTCTGGACGACGATCAGTGGCGCAGTAAGAAGGGAGCCTGCGACCTTCTGGGAGCCATGGCTTATCTGGATCCCAACCAGCTGGCCCAGAGTCTACCGGATATCATTCCCCCTCTTACAGGTGTCCTCAACGACAGCCACAAGGAGGTTCGCTCCGCCGCCAACAAGAGTTTGAAGCGGTTCGGCGAGGTTATTAGCAACCCCGAAATCAAGGGCCTCGTCGACATCCTGCTCAAGGCGCTTAGCGACCCTACCAAGTACACGGATGACGCCTTGGATGCCCTGATCAAGGTTCAGTTCGTGCACTACCTAGATGCACCCTCTTTGGCCCTGGTCACCAGAATCCTACAGCGCGGCTTGGGTGACCGTTCCAACACCAAGCGCAAAGCAGCACAGGTCATTGGCAGTCTGGCCCATCTCACTGAACGCAAAGACCTTGTTTCGCACTTGCCAATCCTCGTTGCAGGGCTCAAGCTGGCCATTGTCGATCCGGTTCCAACGACTCGTGCTACGGCTTCCAGGGCCCTGGGATCGCTGGTGGAGAAACTGGGAGAAGATGCGCTGCCGGATCTTATCCCAGGGCTCATGCAAACACTCAAGGCAGACAACGGCGCTGGAGACCGCCTCGGCTCTGCACAGGCTCTCAGCGAGGTGCTCGCAGGCTTGGGCACCGCCAGACTCGAAGAGACTCTCCCAACCATTCTGCAAAACGTCGAATCCACAAAGCCGGCGGTTCGCGAGGGCTTCATGTCCCTCTTCATTTTCCTTCCCGTCTGCTTTGGCAACAGCTTTGCAAACTATTTGGGCAGAATCATCCCGCCCATTCTGTCCGGTCTTGCCGACGATGTCGAATCCATTCGTGAGACCGCCCTCCGTGCCGGTCGTCTGCTTGTCAAGAACTTTGCCGTCCGTGCTGTAGATTTGCTGCTGCCCGAGCTTGAGCGTGGCTTGGCCGATGACAGTTACCGCATCCGACTCAGTTCAGTCGAGCTCGTCGGCGACCTTCTCTTCAACCTTACGGGTATCACCGGCAAGACAGAGGACGGAGAGGAGGACGAGGAGAGCGCCCGAGAAGCCGGTGCTTCCCTTCGCGAAGTCCTTGGCGAAGAGAAGAGGAACAAGATCCTGTCGGCCCTCTACGTCTGTCGATGCGATACTGCCAATGCGGTCCGGTCTGCTGCCGTTGCCGTATGGAAGGCTTTGGTCTCAAGCCCTCGCATCCTCAAGGAGCTGGTGCCGACTCTTACTCAACTCATCATCCGACGCCTTGGCAGCTCCAACATGGAGCACAAGGTCATTGCCAGCAACGCTCTCGGCGAGCTGATCCGCAAGGCAGGGGATGGCGTCCTGTCAACTCTGCTGCCGACGCTCGAGGAGGGATTGCAGACATCCACAGACACAGACGCGAAGCAGGGTATCTGCCTTGCCCTCAAGGAGCTCATTGCGTCGGCATCAGAAGAGGCCCTCGAGGACCACGAGAAGACCCTTATCTCAGTCGTCAGGACAGCTCTTACCGATTCGGATGCGGATGTCAGAGAGGCTGCCGCAGAAGCGTTCGACTCACTTCAACAGATTCTGGGCAAGAAAGCGGTGGACCAAGTGCTCCCGTATCTACTCAACCTCCTTCGCTCCGACGAGAACGCCGACAACGCCTTGTCGGCCCTTCTCACACTCCTCACCGAGACAACCCGCTCCAACATTATCCTCCCCAACCTTATCCCCACGCTCATTACCCCTCCCATCTCTGCCTTCAATGCCAAGGCTTTGGCGTCCTTGTCGAGGGTGGCCGGTGCTGCTATGAACCGCCGGCTGCCGAATATCATCACCTCCCTGATGGACAACATAATCAACTGCGAAGACGATGTTTTGAGAGAGGACCTCGAGAAGTCATTCGATACTGTCATTCTGTCCATTGACGAGTACGACGGACTAAACACAGTCATGAATGTTCTACTCCAACTCACAAAGCATGACGACCACCGTAGGCGCGCTGCCACTGCCCGCCACCTGTGCAAATTCTTTGCCGCCGGCGACGTGGACTACTCGCGGTACAACCAGGACATCGTCCGGTCTCTTCTCATCTCTTTTGATGACAGAGACACAGACGTCGTCAAGGGAGCCTGGGCTGCGCTCAGCGAGTTCACGAAGAAGCTCAAGAAGGAGGAAATGGAGGGCTTGGTTGTCTCGACCAGACAAATCCTGCAACAGGTTGGCGTTCCCGGCGCAAACCTGCCTGGTTTCGAGCTTCCCAAGGGCATCAACGCCATCCTGCCGATTTTCCTTCAGGGCCTCATGAACGGTACTCCGGACCAGAGAACACAGGCAGCTCTGGCCATCTCCGACATCGTCGACCGGACAAGCGAGGCTTCACTGAAGCCATTTGTCACACAAATTACTGGTCCACTCATTCGTGTCGTTTCCGAGAGGTCTACTGACGTCAAGTCTGCCATTTTGTTGACTCTCAACAACCTATTGGAGAAGATGCCTGCGGCTCTGAAGCCGTTCTTGCCCCAGCTTCAGCGCACATTCGCCAAGTCACTTGCCGACCCGTCAAGCGAGGTTCTCAGAGCGCGTGCGGCCAAGGCCTTGGGCACCCTCATCAAGTACACACCGCGTATCGACCCCCTGATCGCCGAGCTCGTGACGGGCTCCAAAACTTCGGACCCCGGAGTCAAGACAGCCATGCTCAGCGCGCTTTACGAGGTCATCAGCAAAGCCGGCGCGAACATGGGCGAGGCCTCGCGGGCCGCGGTCTTGGGTCTCATTGACATGGATACTGACGAGAGGGACGACGCCATGACCATCACGAATGCCAAGCTGCTCGGAGCGCTGATTAAGAACGTGCCCGAGGAGGCTGCCAACGGACTGCTCAAGAACCGTGTGGTGACCAGTCACTGGAGCCACTCCTCAGCGCTTGCGCTGAACGCTGTTCTCGTCGAGTCACCACAGAGTCTCCTGGAGAGCCCTCTAGTGGACGACTTGCCCGACATCCTCGGCCAGGGCATGTCGAACAAAAACGTAAGTACTGCCGTTTCGGTGTAGAAGCAAGGGTCACACGCACACAGCTAACATGGGCACGCAGCCATATATCGCCGACAATGTCATCCTGGCCACGGGCAAATTCCTCCTTTCAGAGTCACCCAAGAGTTTTGAAACAAACAAGAAGCTATTTGAAGCACTCGCCAACGTCATTCAACCAGGAAACTCGGTCGACTCCCGCCGACTGGCCTTGGTCATTGTCCGGACCTTGAGCCGCGTAAACATGGACATGGTGAGGCCGCACGTTGCTGCGCTTGCGGGCCCCATCTTTGCCAGTGTCAGAGACCCGGTTATCCCTGTCAAGCTGGCGGCGGAAGCTGCCTTTGTAGCCCTCTTCAACGTGGTCGAAGACGAGACGAGAGTCTTTGACAAGTACGTCGAAAGCGCCAACCTGCCACCAAACACCAAGAGGAGCATGCAGGATTACTTCAAGCGCGTGGCGATGCGCCTTGGTGCGCAGGCGCGCGAGCGGAAAGAGGCAGAGGGCGGCCAGGGAGGCCTGGGTCTGTCAAACGACGAAGCTGAGGACGAGAAGGAGATTTGGAGCGTGGGCAAGGTTGATGTGGGCGAGGACGTGTTTGGCAAGTAGATGTATGTCTGGGAAGTTGATTTGAGTTTACAAAAGTTTGACATGAATTCTGTCTTTTGAGGCCGAAATATTAACCAGTGAGGTGATGCTTTGCTGCTACCTACCTACCTAGGTACATATGAAAGAAAGACGAATATATACATGAAGAGGAAGACGATTGGAGCATGGGTCTTTACGCCCCAAGCACCACCCCCTTCTCATTTCTGCCTCTTCTTCCCTGGAGGGGGGTATGGTGAAGTACGTCAATTGCGATCTTATGCCGACAATATTGTCGCCCATAACGCTCAGTGAGCCAACCATTGAATGTCATTGGGTATGTCGTTTTTCTGGACCTCACCTAGACCTCACCTAGTAATAGGTGTCGGACTGGAGCAAAGCAGAGATGGCTTCAGCGAGATGCTTGCTACGAAGGCCAACGGAAGAACTTCAGAGACCTAGGTACCTACACTACCTACCTTACCGGGTACAAGTGCACAGGCCTCAAGTACCCAAAAGGGCCTGTGTCGCCTCAGTCACGTGGTCTACAGACGCCAAAAGGTGTTTTGATTTTTTTCCCGGGCTCGCTTACCCATCGCCCCACTTCGCCCACAACTGAAGGAAACCCCGAGTTTGCTCACACTTCACCTTTCTGAAAATTGGCCTCCTGTCCACCCCTCTCGAAATTTCAACACCTCGACTCCCCCGGTAGGTACGACCATCGACTAGCACAGCATTCAAGATGTAAGTTATCACGATCCGAACACCAGACCACATCCCATACCGATCCCAATGCGATTTGCGTCGTTTTCTCTGCGCCCGGCACGCCGACTTGATGGGCGCCACGACCCCTAGGTGCACGCGGAGAGGGGGGCAAGCCAAACGAAAACTCAACGGCGGCGTTTGGCGTTGGAAGAAGGAAACGGCCGATGGCCACTTTTCTACTTGATGGGAAACAATGGCTGATACGAGTGCTTCCTCTGCAGGGTCAATCTGCGAACTCAGAAGCGCCTGGCCGCGTCGGTCATTGGCTGCGGCCAGCGCAAGATCTGGCTCGACCCCAACGAGGTCAACGAGATCTCCAACGCCAACTCTCGCCAGACCATCCGCAAGCTCGTCTCCGATGGCCTCATCATCCGCAAGCCCGTTACCATGCACTCGAGATCCCGCGCTCGCGAGCTGAACCTCGCCCGCCGCATCGGTCGTCACCGTGGCTTCGGTAAGCGCAAGGGTACCGCTGAGGCTCGCATGCCCAGGTTCGTCAACGCCGATCACGATGGTCGGCTTGTCATTCAGGGTTTTCTTGCGTGCTCCGAAGGACATGCCGACAAGCAAACCCTCGATTGACAGGCCGACCTGATAATCACACTGGAAACACGTCGTGCTGACTCCCGATGAAGCCAAGTCCTCTGGATGCGCCGCCTCCGTGTCCTCCGCCGCCTCCTGGTCAAGTACCGTGCCTCCGGCAAGATCGACAAGCACCTGTACCACGAGCTTTACCACTCCAGCAAGGGTAACGCCTTCAAGCACAAGCGTGCTCTCGTTGAGCACGTAAGTCATACCCCCCTTGACTTGTGGCCGCTGCAGGAGCAGCAGCGTGAGCATGGAGTAGAGTGGTGGACTGACGCGAGGGTTTCTACAGATTCACCGTGCCAAGGCCGAGAAGGCCCGCGAGAAGGCCCTCAAGGACGAGATGGACGCCAAGCGTGCGAAGACCAAGGCCGCTCGCGAGCGCAAGTTGGAGAGAGTGGCGGCGAAGAGGAACGCCCTGATGGGCGAGGGCGAGGAGGAGGCCAAATAGATGATCACGATCGATCTCGGTCCTTAGGCGGCTGCATTCGGAGTCATCGGGTTGGGTCTTCTTTTTTTACGTCCTACTGTCCCTATTGTCGCAGCAGGGCTTTGGCATGTAGCATTGAAAAATGGAAATCGATGACATGGCAAATTACGGGCACGAAAAATGAGCAGCAGCAATTCTTACACGGTTCTTTCTTCGTTCATCATGACCAAGTTTTCTAAATGTACGACGATTTCATGGTAATGTCCGTGGATAGGTAACCCGCACACAGCACCAGCAGCAGCAGGAGACCTTTCTTTTCTTTCCTTAATTTTTTTTTTCTTTCGAACTGTTGATATTCTAACGGCGCTGGGACAAGGACGGCAGTTACAGGTGGTGATTGATTGTAAGCGTCATGCATTGCTTTTCGGCACCCGTATAGACTAGGCACTGCGAATTTGTCTGTCACATGTCGAGCTGCCTCTGGTTGGAATCCAACAATCATGAGTCTAGGATGATCGTCTTAATTATCATCATTTTGCCCCTTGTGTGATGGCACGATCCTGACATTCGGGTTGGATCAGGACGAGCCGGGAGGCACGCAAGAAAGGTCTGTTTCTTAGCTCATCTCTTGTGGCCGAAGGACCGAGCCACAAACTTGGAGCCACACCCACGGACTAAGAGTGACGAACCGGGTGGCTGTAGAGAAAACAGTTGTTTGACACACGCACAGCATTCGCACTCATCTGAAGCGTCATTCACCAATATTATGTCGTAAGATACCATGACACTTGCCCGGTTCTCTCATCGTCTCGACTTGGATTGACCATATCGACCAGCCTACGGTACTCTCCCACTACTTGAAAGAAGCCGGAATAATTACATTATCGCTTTGTAATGGTTCCGCTCCCATGGGACGAAGATGAAAAGAGAAATGAAGAAAACACAACCACGGATTGGATCAGATTGTTTCAAATTGTCCCTCTAAGGTGGTGAGGTGTGCCAGAACATATCATCATGCACCCGCCGAAGCGGAAGAGCTGATAATGAGAAGAAAGCGTGCTCGTCATCTCCAATTTAGTTGTGTAAAGAAGAGAAGAAGAGGAAAAGAAGGGAGAATTTGACCACGACGCGGCCTTGAAAAAGGACTCTGCTCGGGCGGTGGTGGAGCTGCGGGAGCATGCCGAGGGCGAGGGTCCGTGCACTAGCACCTGAGGCAGCCACTTTACGACTTATCGTCTTAGGTAATCAAGACGGCCAGCTGTGTATCCAAACATTCTTGGATAATACTATGGTACCAGGCCGAAATAAAATACCCCTATTAGGTATCTTACTCTGACACTCACCACCCTACTTATTTCAGTAGCGGGCATTACAGTACTGTTTACTAGCCTAGCCAGCTGGACTGTGTGGCGATATTACATAACTGGGGTATTTTATCCCCCCCTGCCACCCTGTACGTCAAAACGATAAGACGATAAGACAATAACATGGGGGCAGGACAGGCATCCTAGGAGGTAGGTAGGCAGGCACACTGGGTAGCGGTTAACAGGCAGACAGATTGCGGGTCAAACCTTAGCATCTCAGACTATCTCAAAGTACTGACCCACCTCCTCTTAAGTCACAAATTCTCCACACCACCAACTTCATCTACTAACTTCAAATCTTTAACTCCTAAGTCAACAAAAAGAGAAAAAAAGCTTTTTTATTAGTATAATCTATAGTATATATACTCTTGTTTAAGGGGAAGTCTCTAGGGGTAAATTTCTCTAAAAAGTTGATTTGTGCTATTATATTCTAGATGCACCTTAAGCTTATAGAGATATCTCTGTTTTCTTCTTTTTTCTGTAGGAAAAGGGTAAGCTGGTCTGTGCGTAGGTCTGTGCAGGATTAAGCGAGAGACTTCAAGAGGTACTTTGATGACTCAAGTGCTGCCCCGCAATCTGTCTGCCTGTTAACCGCTACCGCACACTGCCTACCTACCCACCTACCTACAGGTAGGTCGGAAGTTGAGCCGAGACCGCCGTTTACAGCGCGGCTAGAGCAGCTCGGTCGCTGCACCGCTCTGCTCTCTCGGGTCAGATTCCGCCAGCTAACAGCAACGATCCCCGACCCCCAGCTCTTTATGTACCGCGCCTCCCCTCCCCCACCACCACCGCCGGTACACGCCTGCCGCTTGTAGCTGGGGTAAGGTAATCCAAGGTACTCACTCAGTCTGTCCGTGGTTGTAAGCTCCGTCCCTTGTGGTTAAGTAAGTGATGCTCCATTCCCAAACCGCTAACCAAATATCTCGGACCGAACACCTCGGGACTTTCTCTATCTGGTCTTCAACTCGACTGCACTTCCCCTTCGTCAACTCTTATAGCGACGACCACCAGATTGTTTGAATCGATCGATTGACACATCCATTCTTCACAGGTCTGTTGTCACACCAGTCGCCATGTCTCCTCCAGTATTCCGAAGCACAACTCGTGCATTCCGTTGCTTGCCGAGGGCGGCAGCTCTACCCTGCGCCCGTGCAGGTGGCGTGACGAGGTTGATCTCGACAAACAGCATAGAGGGCCAACAACGGGTGCGCATCACTGCTCAATTGCTTCCCGGGTGATATCTCTTTAGCTCTACTGACTCTGCCAACTCTAGCTCCTGTCTGCCAATCTTCAACAAGCCGATCCCGCCGTCTACGACATCATTGAAAAGGTACGAATCCACCTCGGCCGATATTGCCACCAACAGACGATACCCTCAACCATGTTGTCATTTTATGTTGCGCAACGCCGACGCCTCCCGAACCTGGTGCATTTGCTTACCTGCGCGGCTTGTAGGAGAAAACAAGACAGAAGCATTTCATCAATCTCATCCCCTCCGAGAACTTCACCTCCCAGGCCGTTCTCGATGCTTTGGGTAGTGTTATGCAAAGTAGGCCTTACTTCCGCCAGCCATCCTTGACCCCCGGGGCTTTCTGCTGACATGTTTGACTAGACAAGTACTCAGAGGGCTACCCCGGCGCAAGATACTATGGCGGAAACGAGTTCATCGATCAGTCAGAGCGTCTCTGCCAGCAGCGAGCGCTGGAAACGTTTGGCCTAGATGCGAAACAATGGGGCGTCAACGTTCAAGGTGCGCCTCCCTCTACTCTGACTGCCTTGCAAGCAGTCGCGTCCGTGGACCGTCTCTAATTCCCGATGCAGCTCTATCTGGTGCCCCAGCCAACTTGTATGTCTACTCTGCCCTAATGGACACTCACGACCGCCTCATGGGTCTGGACCTCCCCCACGGCGGGCACTTGTCGCACGGCTACCAGACACCGACCAAGAAGATCTCCGCCATCTCCAAGTACTTCGAGACGGTTCCCTACAGACTCGATGAGACCACCGGCCAAATTGACTACAACAAGCTGGAGGAGTTGGCCATGCTCTACAGACCCAAGGTGATTGTCGCCGGAGCTAGCGCCTACAGCAGGTTGATAGACTACAAGCGCATGCGCGAGATCTGCGACAAGACCAACGCCTACCTCCTGGCCGACATGGCTCACATCTCGGGTCTGGTTGCTGCCAAGGTTATGCCCGGCCCCTTTGCCTACGCCGATATCGTTACGACCACTAGCCACAAGAGCTTGCGAGGACCCCGTGGTGCCATGATCTTCTTCCGCAAGGGCGTACGCCGGCAGAACGCCAAAAAAGAGGACGAGATGTATAACCTCGAGGGTCCCATTAACGCCTCCGTTTTCCCCGGCCACCAGGGAGGTCCTCATAATCACACAATCACCGCCCTGGCCGTCGCTTTGAAGCAGGCTCAGGCCCCCGAGTTCCGCGCCTACCAGGCGCAGGTTCTGGCCAATGCCAAGGCTCTCTCCCAGAGACTGGGTGCGCCCAAGGAGAAGGGAGGTTTGGGATACAGCATCGTGTCCGGCGGCACCGACAACCACCTTATCCTGGTGGACCTGAAGCCCCAGGGTATCGACGGTAGCCGTGTCGAGAGGGTACTAGAGCTCGTCGGCGTTGCCGCCAACAAGAACACGGTTCCTGGCGACAAGTCGGCGTTGGTGCCCGGTGGACTGCGCATCGGTACGCCTGCCATGACGACAAGAGGGCTTAACGAGGAGGACTTTGGTCGTGTGGCCGACATCATCGACCGCGCCGTCACAATTGCTATCCGGATCAACAAGAGCGCCAAGAAGGCGGCCGAGGAGAAGGGGGAGAAGAAGCCCGGTCTGCTGAGACATTACATGGAACATCTTGGTGACGGAGAAAATGACCCTGAGATTGTACAGCTGCGGTCCGAGGTGGCCGACTGGGTGGGTACATACCCGCTGCCTTGGGATATCCACTCTTCTTGAATAATAGAGAGTTATGGAGGACTATGAGGAATGGATGAGCAATGGAATAATCCTCGGGGAGGGGGCCCCAGGCCAGGGTTCTGGCCCTTCACGGCGTTTAAAGGGACCTTTGTGTTATGAGGTTGTGCGAGAGCGGTTTGTGCCTAGATTCTCTCGGCTTCCTGTTGCAATTTTATATAACGATCGTGGACTCTTTCTAGGTATCATCATGCATGCATTGTCCCGGAGGCCAATGTGTGCGTACACATCTACGTACCATCCACGACGCCATCCTCAATGAGACAGGGAAATTCCAAATTCTTAAAAGAGCTTGCTTGCTTGCATCTCCATGTCGATCTGGAATATGCTGTGCTAGCCAAAAAGAAAAACTTTAACTATTCAAAAGGTATCAAAAATAATGACCCTTATCCCAAGCAACGAAAAACCCCTATTTTTTCGCTCCGAGTTTCTTCCCAACCATTCCGTCGCTGGCTTCCGCTTTCGCCTTTGAACCCCCCTCCAAATAGTCACCCTCACATCACACACGTAGGGGCACCTCCCGAGTTCCAAGCCTGCTTGGCATCCACGCTGTCGGGCTGGTTTGCGCCGCGCATCTTGACAGCGGACTCCCTGGCCTTGACCTTCTCGTAGTACTCCCTCAGCTTCTTGTTCGCGCCCAACGCTTCGACGCCGGATTCCTCGACGATGGCGTGCAGCACCGGCCAGACGGCAAAGTCCGCCAATGAGATGCTTGGCCCTGCGATGAAGTCCGCTTCGGCCGCGTACCCCTCCCAGATGGCCAGCTCCCGCCTCAGGTGCCCGAGGTTGCGCCTTGTCGTCTTCTTCTTCTCTTTCTCCCCCTTCTCTTCTTTCTTCTCCCCCTTCTCTTCTTTCTTCTCCCCCTTCTCTTCTTTCTTCTCCCCCTTCTCTTCTTTCTTCTCCTCCTTCTCTTCTTTCTTCTCCTCCTTCTCTTCTTTCTTCTCCTCCTTCTCTTCTTTCTTCTCCTCCTTCTCTTCTTTCTTCTCCTCCTCCTTCGCCTTCTCCTCCTTCGCCTTCTCCTCCTTCGCCTTCTCCTCCTTTTCACCATTGAATTCTGGCAGTCGCCGCCACTTGTCGAGAAGAGAAAACCCTTGCTGGAAACGTGTAAGAACCCGTGCGGTGTCGGCCTGTGATCTGACTGCCGCGTTGGCCCTGCATACAGCGTGAACTGCATCAAGATACAGCATGATGGCCAGCTCGCCCTGCACCGTCGACTTTGCCGCGTCATTGTCGACGAACCTGACTGGCAAGGACTCGGGTACGGCGGGGGCGTCCTCGGCGCTCGGGTCACCCCCCTTCCAGTTGAACGACGGAGACATGCTACCTTTGGAGTAGGTGATGCCGTATTCAGCCAGCATCAGGGTAATGCGCATGTTGACGACGGGATCGGGCGAGGCACAGAGACGAGGGGAGTTGCTCATGTGAAGTACATCGAAGCCCTTGCCATAGTACCTGTCCCAATCGAATTCGGTCGAGTGGTTCTCCGTGCCAAAGGCCTGAAGCATCCTCACGGCCTCGGGGCTCTGCCCGTTGATGACCGCGTGGGCCTCCTCCCTCGTCTTGCCGGTGGCACCCTGACCCCAGATCAGGGTGCTATCCCGATTCAAGAACGTGCCAATCTGCCTGAAGGTGAGGGAGATACGCCCGCCCGAGAAGGCCAGCTCCGGAGCGGTCTTGTCCCGGTCCGCTCTCTTGTCCTGCCGGATGGCGTGCAGCCAGCGCATGTTGGTCACCAGGCCCATGCGGCACAGAGAGTTATGCGGCAACCTCGCGCGAGAGGTCTTGCGCTGCTTTGAGTCCTCCCCTGACGGCACTTCAGCACTGGACGGATTCTTATCCCGCCTCTTGGTCCTGAGTACCATGGTCCGCTCGGCTCCCAAGCTGACGTTGGCAATGTACGACCCCTTGACGATATCCAGAGTCTTGTCGCTGTGCTCGGAGATATAGTCGGTGCCATTGCGGTAGAACTGGATCAAGGCGTGGTTCAGCGGGTGGCCGAGCTGCTTTTCGACCTCGGCCTTGATCTTCTGTATCGTCGGCGAGAAAGGAAGCAGAGGCGGCGACTCGTCGGACGGGTGCCGGTAAACTGGCGCACTTCCATCATCTGCCACCTCGCCTTGGACGGCAACCAGCCGGGGAACCTCGCCGCCCTGGTGGGACATTCTCTGCCAGAGAACCTCGTCTCTCACTTTCTCAAAGATGTCCTCGGCCAAGGGGGCTGGGAGAATGTTATAGATGACGGTCGTGTCGCCCTCGCAGAGAGGCTCGGTGGTCTGCGGGGAGGGGTCCTCTACATTGACTTCTTCGTCCATGCTTGCCTGCTCCTCTGCCTGGCCAGGTCTCGCGTCTGGCTCCCTTGTCTCCAACTTGGGCTCCGGTTCTTTCCCCGGTTCCAGCTTCAACTCTTGCTTCTGCCCTGGCTTGGTAGCAGTCTTGGTGTCAGGTGTCGAGTCGGGCTCGAGCTCAAGGTCGGATGCAGAGGAAGTCCTCTCGTCGACGGCTGACTTGAGGATTTGGGGTTCCTTTATATCATCGCTCTCCGGCTTTATAGCCGAGCTAGACGCTGTCCAACCTTTGCCCGACGGTTTTCTTGAGATCACTTTGTCGGATGAGTCACGCGCGGTCGCTTTTGGTGGCTGTGCGGCTGGGTCAGCCTCCAAGGGATCGGAGACGGTTGCACAATCATGATGGCCCGCAGCATTGCCGGACCGCGAGCTCGAAGGCCCACTTACCGGGCTATCAAGTGAAAGTGCGGCCATCTGATGCTCGATCTTCAGCTTGTAAGCGTCAGGCGCGGGAGGCGCCTTGCCATCGCCAGCCTCGGCGACCCTTTTGGGTACAACGGGCGACGATGAGGCGGACTCCCGGGTGGTCCTGGGCTGCAGCTTTTGAATGATAGTCTCACTATCGTCAACCTCACAGCCGGTCACGTCGACGAGGCTCTGCATGGCACTGGTCTGGCGAAGATCGGAACGAAAACCGCAGCAGTTCTCAACCACAGTGATGGAGTACCCGAACTTGGCAGCATCCATGGCAGTGGCGTAAACACCAATGTTGGCGAGGGAGCCACAGATGTAGAGCTCATGCACAAACTTGACGCGCAAGGTCTGCAATAGCTGACCAGAAGTGAAGGCCGAGTAGTGAGACTTGATGAATGTGATATCCCTCTTGCCGATGGCTGCTTTGATGGCTTCGGGGAAAGCAGCGCCGCGGGTTGCGGAGCGAACAATCTCAGGACCGGGCTGGCTGAGGAAGGCCTCGGGATCTGCATCCGAGGCCTCTTCAGGCTCTGGGGCTGCAGAGGCAAGCTGAGGTCTCCTTCGCGTGCGCGATTCTATAACCTTGGGCTTCGGCAATGCATCAGTAGCCCAGATGGGCTCGGCGGCGGCAGAGCGGAACTTGTCGAACTCGGTGCACACCCAGATGATGTCGCCAACCTTGCGGAAAGCCTTGACCAGGTCAACGGTCCGAGCAACAAGGTCGTCATGGTCAATGACGGGAAGGACGCCGTCGGCGGACAGGAAGTCGTTTTGGAAGTCGACTAGCAGCAGACCCTTGCGGGTGGGTAGCGTAGGGATGGCGCTCACGTCGAAGGGAAACATGCCGGTGGAAATGGACGGGAATGGCGGTGGGGGCAAGGAAGGCTTGCTTTCTGGGGATTGATCCGAACCTTGGGCTTGCTGGCGTTCTTGGGGCTGCAGCATTCCACCTCGCCTGGACGGTAGCCCGGGACGGGGATATGCAACGGTTGAGATATGGTCCAAAAGATACCGTGGAAAAGGAACCTGTTGCTGTTCTCGTTTCTTTTAACAGGTCACCGGGATAGGCGGTGAAGGGACGGGCGAGGGTAATCAACAACAAAAGAGCCGTTGTCCGCTGAAAGTGATGACATGGGCGGGAGTCAGTTAAAAATGAGAGCGTAGCATGACAATCCTGCGATGTTGGTGGAGTGTGGGTGTGTGGTATGTATTTGAGCGTCAAGGATGGTGAGGGTGGATGGGGCACATAAGGCTGCTTAGGTACCTCTTAACTTCTAAGAGACCCTGCCTCCGTGGAGACCCGCACCCGCATGCAGCTGTTGTTTTCGCAATTACTCTCGAATCGGGTCTTATCCGGGAGGGAAGTGGGTCCGTCAACGGAGGGGGGCCCGGGGGGAGGTAAAGGCGAGACTGCGAGGAAGGGGAGAGAGAAGAGGAGGTCACCGACCACCTACGCGTGCATTAGACGGCTACTTCTACAATTCTTCTCTAGGATACTCCAGAGTTTCTCGATTTTCCGTACAATCACCTGGAAGCACCTAGGTAGGTAGCTATTTTGATAGTAGAGGTATGCAGGTAATGTCGAGTTGGAGATGGCGGGGCCGCGGCCGTGGTAACCAACAAACCAAAAACTCGTGTGTAACATTTCTCCCACACCCCGCGCTTAGCAACGTCTATGTTCATGCCGTGGTCTTTATGTCGTTCTATAGGTCTACCTTCTATGGTCGCTGTCGTTTCTTTTTGTTCTATTGTCGCCCTGCACATCCATCATAGACTCGATGCCCGCCTGACATGAACCCCAATGGATGTCATTTCGACCAATACCTCGCACCTCTCGACCTGGCCGTGTTGAAGTCGTGTACAAGCCTGCCGCCTTGAAAAACGGGAGGCAAGACAGATGGACAGACAGACACATTACCGGCCCGCCTTACTGAAGCTCACTCGCGGCGATGGCCTGCATCTCTTCTACCACTTCCGCAAAGGTCGGTCTCTCGCGCACAATTGCGGTTGAGCAATGAGTGTGTAGCCTCCGCAGCTCTTGAAGCGACTTCTGCCCCTTACCACCTTCCTCTGTGACATTGGTCAATCGAAGCATGTCCTCCACGAGATGGCCGAACGCGAGCACCTCCAACTTCTCAAAGTCAAGCCCGTTGAGGTGCTGGTAGATTGTCGCCGCTCCAAAGTCGCCGAGCAGAGCATGCCCAGTGTCGTCGAAGAGAATGTTGTGAGCGTACAGATCGCAGTGGGAGACCTTCCGGCTGTGGAGATGACGAGCAGCCGCGGCGACCCCGCGCAAGATTTCCAAGACGGCCCCGAGAGACAGCGGCTTCCCGGTCTCGTATCGGTCTCGAGTACAGCTCTGCAGTGAAGGCGGAAGGCCAAGAGTCTGGTAATGAGAGGGAATGAGCTGCATGATGAGACCGTGCTTCTCCGGGTGTCCCTGAATGCTCGCCAGAGTGCTTATGAGGTTGTCATGGGAGCCCGCGGCCAGGCATGCGGCCATCTCATCGAGAGGCGTCCCGTCGCTCGTCACCTCTCCCTTGAAAAGCTTCACGGCGACCTCTTCTACCACAGAATCTGCCATTATCCACCTCGCCTTGAAGATGTCGCCGGAAGCTCCGTGGCCTAGCAAGCCTCCGATCTCAAGGTCGTGCCACCCCACCTTGCGAAGTAGGGCGAGCTCTTCGTCAAGGCTCACTGCACAGCATGGGTTGCCAGCAACGGATAGAAAGGCGAGCTCGGGCATCTCAAAGAGCCAGGGCGGCAAGTCGGCGAAGTGGTTGGCGGACAGACGAAGCAGGCCGAGCTTACGGCACGCCGACATTTCCTTGGGAAGAGTGGTGAGGCTATTGCCAGCAAGCATGCACTTCTGGAGACGCGAGCAGCGACCGATGCCTTTGGGCAGTGCCTCGATACGGTTGTTGGTGAGAATGAGCCAGCGAAGCCTGGACGGCAAGGCACCTTCCGGTATGGTGGTCATGCCGTTGGATCGGAACGCCACCATCTCGAGCTCGGGACATGCGGCAAGCTGCTCGGGGAAGACGGTGAAATGGCAATCCGAGAAAAAGGCGATCTTGAGCTTCTGCAATCGGCCAAAGTCCTCGGGCAGGGTCGAGAGGCCGGTGCCTGAGAGATCAAGATGCTCGAGGGTATCGGCCAGGTCAAGGATCTCGCAGGGGAATCCATTCAAGGGCTCTGAGAGTTTGAGTTTCTGGAGACCTTGACCCCGATAACCTCCATTTTGCAGAGTTTCCAAATCTTGCATCGTCTCGATCGAGCAGTCAACCGATGTTTGTGGTGCGAGGGTTACCTGAGCCGTAGCCGGGGTCGACCGCGAGTATGCTTGCTTGCTTGGCTTGGATATTGGAAAACTTGAAACCCGAAGAGGTGCAGACAGCTGTCGCAATATCGAGATGTTGAAAACTATTCCGCCGAATGCGTGAGACGCATAAAATGTGAAGTCTAACTACCTATGAGGGAGTAAAGAAGGTAGGAACAAAGGCGCTTGAACCAGACCAGACAGATAAGATAACTGAGCACAGCCCGCAGTCGCCTGAGATGGGTCTCACTTAAATTGATCGAACCAATGTCGAGTACACGTGTAACAAAGGCGATAAAGAGTCAAGAGTGAAGGATGAAGAATAACAGAGGGCCGATATTTTTCCAGTCACAGAAAACACATGGCAATAACAAGCCTCAATGGGGGGAGACATATGTTCACGACGAGATAGATGAATGGCTAGGCGCCTAGCAGATGAGGGGGCCGGTGAGGAGGAGAGGAAGCATACACACACTGGAGAAGACAGTTATATAGCCTTATAGGTGACTAGAATGGACGCACGCCTAGTAAGTAAGTTTCTTGGCTACCTAGCTACCTAGGTATTAAGAGATCGAGTCAACAAAGTCAACGAGTTGGAGTGAACAGACTAACCAGAGATGGAGACGACGCACCCCGGTGAGCGGAGGGAGGAATGTACGTACTTGCTTGGTTCCTGGATCTGGGGAGGTGAGGTACCTAGGTACTTGACCTCGACACTACAGTCAATCGGGTGGTCCGAGCTGCACTCCCAAATTTCTCGAGCAAAAGCAGGGAGTACGTACCGTTCGTCCGCGGCACCTTCCTGCGCGATAGCTGCAACTGAATTGCTTCAACGCCCAAACAATTTCGCGCGAACTCCCCGTCAACCTGTCGCCCTCCTTCTTCGTCGCATCGCCGCGGCATCATTCTGTGCTCCATCTGCACCGCCGCCGCCGCCGCCGTCGTCGCGCTCTCCCCAAATAACGCGTCTGGTAGCCCGCGCCATTCAACAGCCCTCCCTCACCCTGTGCGGCTCCCGATTCTCTCTCTACTTCCTTCGCATCCCACCATGTCGTCGACGACGCCTTCGCCTCCGACATCGACATCGACCCCGCTCAAGCGCAGCTCTTCCGGCCAGGATGAAGAGTCGAACAGCAAGCGCCAAAAGACCGACACCCCGACGCCCGTGCCCGCCGTCGTTGCCGACAGCGACGAGCCTTCGCTTCCCTGCGCCACCAAAGTCACAATTCCTTCTCTCGACTACCAGGCGAAAAGCGGCCTCGAACGAAGCATTGGACTAGCATTGCAGCATGTCGGCTTCGATTCTGCTACCCCCGAAGCCATGGAGGGCTTTCTGGGGACGGTAGAGACGTGTAAGATTTGTCTCGGCGCTTGCTTGACATCGCCTCGCCTTCTTGGGGCGCTAACCCTGCTCCAGATATGGCATCCTTTGTCCAAGACCTCAAACGCGTCGCCCTTTCTGCGCGCCGTGAGCAGCCAACACCGGCCGACTTCGAGTCCACGATGCGACGCTTCACCCTCAAGACCATGGCGCTTAAGCCCCATATCCGCCATCCCATACCAAAGGGCAAGCTTGAGACGGAATACTTTAACCCGTTGGTCGAGGATCCGGACGCCTACACGACTTTACCGCTCCTCGGCGAGGATCTGAGCGGCAAGCCCGAGAAAGAAGCCAAGTCGTACATACCGAAATCATTTCCCGATTTCCCCAGCAAGCATACCTATAAATACACTCCTCAAGAGGACGACACTGGACGGGACCCCCAGAAGACGAGGGAAGAAGCAGCAAAGGCATCCAAGCAGGGAGAGGAGGCCCTCCGAGGCCTGGTGCGGGCGGCAAAGGTCCGAAAGCAGAAGGAAATCAGGTCGTTGTCGGAGCGGGATCCGATGACCAAGGAGCGATACTCGCTATGGGCAGCCGCCATGGAGGGCTTCGTCAAGAAGGAAGGCGGCGCATCAGGGCAACTCGAGATTGCTGATCATAGCATGATTGTCAACTCGGATGCGCGCTATCTGCGCAGAGAGGTGCAGCGGCAGAGCAAGCGAGCCGCCGGCCAAAGCTAATCGTCCGACCATACGCGCAGTCAAACGCGACGCCATGGTGCTCCTCCGCCGGGTGAGACCAAGAGACGAGACACAGACAGAGAGACGGCGACCACGTTCAGGACACACATTTCCAACGGCATCTACTTGGTGGGCCAGTGGTGGCATTGGGGTGTGGGCATCATGACAGGAGGCCAACAAGGTTCTTTATTCTGGAAAACGGGACATACATTCAGCAAGGCGTTTGGGGCGTTCAACCGCGGGCCGCACAAGAACACTTTTGAGGAGGGTTTGGCACATCGGCGGTGTCGTTTTTACCTTACCGTCACGGATTTTTGAAGCGTACCATACATACAGCGATGGCATAGTTGAGGGGGCCATCATGATCGGGGTCTAGGAGCGGGAAAAGAAAACAACTGTCCGAACATGGGCAAAAACATAATCGGGATTGACAGCACTCATGAACAATTCGAACGCGATGAGGCTTCACTTCAATAACACCAGAATGACGGGTGCCCTCCCTCACGAATGATGATGTGCGACTTGTTCTCTCTCGAGTTTCCTCTGAAACTGCATACATCGCCGATAGATAGCCACTCGCTCGAGAGCAGCGGTAGGCCATGGGGTTGGCTATAAGGCGGGCAAAACATGGTGTAGGAGAATGGAGGAGCATCGCATATACACGGTAGGTCGTGACACTTAACAACAAAGAGACAGAGAGGGGAAACAAAAATAAAGATAAACAACAACAATAATAATGTCTAGTAAAAACTACTTGTTGCCGACCCAAGTCTCATTCTGCAAGAGCCCCTGCAGCGAGTGACATGCAACTTCTGTCTGGAACAATTTGCGGCGGGTCCTGTCAGCCTCGCCAGTCCCGGCGCAGCCACGGACATCACCCATTGGCTCCGGCCCCACCTGGCTCAACGCAAGGCTGCGTCGCCCCTTCCCACCTGCCAGGCCCTAACCGAAGTTTGCTAATTTTTCCCACCCACACCCAAAATCCGGAATTCTCAGCTCAAGCTCCCAAGGGTCAAAGGTGTGACGCTCAGAATCAACTCCAACCTTTCTACCTTTCCCTCACCACTCAATCGACCTGATTGCCTCATTTCCCAATGGCCGAGCAGTTGATTCTCAAGGGTACCCTCGAGGGCCACGTAAGTCGCTGTCCCGTTGCCTGCCCGCACGCCGTTTGCGCCCGCGCCGTCGCTGGTGTTGGGCGCTGGCGCTGCGATTCGCTTCGCTTTTTTGGCAATTTTCGCAATCGCTGACGGTTGATGCATATTTGCAGAATGGCTGGGTCACCAGCCTGGCTACCTCTATGGAGAAGTACGACCACCACCTTCCTATCCTTCTCCTCCCTCTTCCCTCGCTCCGAAATCCGACTTTACCGGCGATGTTCTCGACAGGTGATGGGGAATTTTCAAATTCGGCATCCGATAACGAGTTCTCGGCACGGGGAGAGAGAGAGGGCCGCGCGGGGCCGCGAGACATTTTTTGGGAAACAGAACCACGGTCGCTAACACTTCGCCAGCCCCAACATGCTCCTGTCCGCTTCCCGTGACAAGACTCTGATCATCTGGAACCTCACCCGTGACGAGTCCCAGTACGGTTACCCCAAGCGCTCCCTCAAGGGCCACTCCCACATCGTCTCCGACTGCGTACGTCTCCCGAACCTACCCGAACTTCGCGGGAAACTACCAGCTCCTGCTGAATCGTCGGTAATTATGGGCTGATGGAAAGGAACAGGTTATCTCCTCGGACGGTGCCTACGCCCTGTCTGCCTCTTGGGACAAGACTCTCCGCCTTTGGGAGCTTGCCACCGGCACCACCACTCGCCGCTTCGTCGGCCACACCAACGATGTTCTGTCTGTCTCCTTCTCCGCCGACAACAGACAAATCGTTTCCGGCTCCCGCGACCGCACCGTCAAGCTCTGGAACACCCTCGGTGACTGCAAGTACACCATCTCCGAGAAGGGTCACTCCGAGTGGGTTTCCTGCGTCCGCTTCAGCCCCAACCCCCAGAACCCCGTCATTGTCTCCTCCGGCTGGGACAAGCTCGTCAAGGTGAGTTTGAGAATGCCCTCCCATTTTGCACGTCCTTTTTTTCTTTTTTTTTTTTCCTTCCTTGTACTGGAAAAAAAAAAAGCAAAAGAAGGGAATCCCACCCCTCTAAACACTTCGACATGATGCTTTGCAACCAAAAGTATTTGCTACTTCAGAGCCTGTTCTGCAGGCCATGAGACCACTATTCACCAATGCACTGATCTCGCATATCCAAACCCGCTTTTGCCCCTCTTGAGAAACATCTCGTACCGGACCAGTCAGACTAACAAAGCGGCAACTTCTAGGTCTGGGAGCTCAGCACCTGCAAGCTGCAGACTGACCACATCGGCCACACCGGCTACATCAACACCGTCACCATTTCCCCTGATGGCTCCCTCTGCGCCTCCGGTGGCAAGGACGGTACCACCATGCTCTGGGACCTTAACGAGTCCAAGCACCTCTACTCCCTCAACGCCAACGACGAGATCCACGCCCTCGTCTTCTCCCCCAACCGCTACTGGCTCTGCGCTGCCACTGCCAGCAGCATCATCATCTTTGACCTCGAGAAGAAGAGCAAGGTTGATGAGCTCAAGCCCGAGTTCACTGCTGTCGGCAAGAAGAGCCGTGAGCCTGAGTGCGTGAGCTTGGCCTGGTCCGCCGACGGCCAGACCCTGTTCGCCGGTTACACCGACAACATCATCCGTGCCTGGGGTGTCATGTCGAGAGCATAAAGGGCGTGAAGCTCTCTTCTGTTCTCTTTCTGGGTTATGCGATGATGGTGACGATGTGTGGTGGGGAAAGGGCTCTGAGATGGTAGATCATGGCGGGCGTCCTAGGCTGGCTTCCTCGTTATGTCTTTCGGGATGCGCAGGGTCAAATCGATTTGTGAAAAAAATTGGGGATGAGACTGCATTGCTGGCTTATAGGTAGCCTACGAAAGGACTCTGGACATCAACCCACGTAACGCCCAAATCAAAAGATCCTGGCAAACTTCAAAAAATTAACCGTGTTTCTCGTTCACATTGTGATGTTGACTTGGTCAGCGCACACACCAATGGGTACCCCCCTTTTCGGAGTGATGGTTGTGATGCGAAGCCATGCTCGGATCCCCCTCGCCCTTGTCCTCGGGATCATGTCTGAGAATGCAAAGCAACCACGTGTGTTCATCATGTGTATGTATTGATTGGGTGAAGGCCAAGCCAAGCCTGTGGTCGTTACCCCTTATCCTCACGCAGTCAAGGCAGTTTTGAATTCCGTCAAATGTAAAGTGTATGTTTCCGGGCCCGTCTTTGTAGACTGACGAGCCATTAACTGCTTGATTGTTGATTTGAGGCTACATAGATATATGGCTGGAGAATTGATTTCTACCGCCTGTAGGCAGGCAGGCAGGGTAAGAAGGAGTTTTCGGGCGGAACAAGTGCATCGACCAGACCCAACCTTTTTGGATTTATGTCTCCCTTTTGTCTTTCACCACATGCCCGCTGTCGATGTGCCGAGGGAATGGTGCACCTCTTCGCCTAGGAGGACGGCTCGGCGTTCTTGGGAAGCATCTCAAGGTAGGCCTGGTTCCCGCGACCAGCCTTGGGCGACGTCTTGTAGGCATCAAGCTTGCCGGCAGAACGAGCCATAACGGACGGCGTTCGAGTCGTCAGTGCCGTCGGACACGCCACTAGGCTTGACCTACACGACTGCGTCAGCGAGCTCGAGGCCAGTGCTGTTGCCGCAAGGACGGAGGCCGAAGCCGGCGCCGTTGACGTTGCACACCGGCTGCCCCACTCCTCACGGAGGCCCTGGGCGTTATTGCGGTCCGTGTCGACAATGGCATGGCTGGGCATGTCCGCCGTCTTGAGGGCGTTGCCGGAGGATCGTGACGTACTTCGTCTCGTTGCACTGTCCATCGGGCTTGTTGGCGAAATCACCAGGTTCGGTGTGGTGTCCCTTAGGGTCTGTGATTAGTGGTTGTATTCCCCTTCTGTAGTAGCTTTAAGCATGCTTATGAAACGAGACTCATCCAAAGTTCCACCCTTGAACATCGGTGGCGATGCCTTGGAGCCGGAACGGGCTGCCGGCGGCCTTCTACGCCTTGGCGAGCTTCGCCGTGCCGGGGCGCCGGCATTAGGGTGCATGATGTTGAGAAGATTGAGGTTCTTGATGGTGTAGGCAACGCCGTCATGGTAGTCCGAGGCTGAGTTCTGGAGCATCTGGAGGTTGATGCTGCAGGTAGCCAGTGTCGAGAAGAAGGAGTAAGAGGCCTTACTAACGCGCCATTAAAATAAAAGGAAGGAGAAGGGGGGAGGAAGACAGGGAGGAAGCTATAGGGGAGATATAGCTTGCTTGGGGACGAGGTTGGGCAACGAGTCGGGTTCGTTGACGAGAGCAAAGACCACCTTGGTGTGAGCCTTGAGGATCTCGACGACGGAGTCGTCATGCTCCTTCTTGTACCGGCTCAGTTCGCCAGCCTTGAGCTCACCATTGGAAGCCTTAGCAGCGCGGTCGTGACCGGGGAGGTCGTAAATGACGACACCGAGGACGGGACGTCCAAGATGGCAGGCTAGAGACGTCCAATGCTGGCAAATAATGTCACTGTAGGCAGTGGCATCAGCATCTCGCCATCCGTTGGCTAGTTTAATCAGAAACCAGATCCTATGAGGGCGGCGACTTCGGTTAGATACCTTTGCTTCTTGGTGATGTTGTTGAAGGGGCTCTTTATTGACGAAAGGGGTGAGGCTGTCTAGCAGGATGATTACGGCCAAAATGCATCATATATCAGCTACAATATCAAATTGAGAAGCCACTTCGTGGGCCAGCCGTAATTGGTCTATAGCTTGGACATCGAATTGAGAACCAGAAGAGGAGCAAGCTGGCAGACCAACGTGCCTATTGTTCCATCCATTAGTGTCGGCAGATATGTTATTGGTTTCAAACCCGTACTCTGTTATCGATTTCACGAGAACGTAACGAGAACAACTCCCACGCCTCCGCCCTCTGAGCACCATGTGAGATCCCACGGAACGACGTTTGGAGTATCCATGGATTGTATACCCTGAAAGGTACGTGTGGCTTGCCTGCCTATGAGGAATATAATTTTGCGGCCCAGGGTCGTAGTCGTCGCTTTAGCCGCCGCTACCCCAAATTGACAACGAATGTTGGGTGTCGATGCTGAACTTCAATTCTCCTTGTGTCCAGTTGAGTTTCCCGCCGGCATAGTATATGGCTTATATCAATGGCCATGTCTCCGAACGACCTGCCAGCCTACATACAGGCAAACCTGCGGCTCAATGAGCCGTCGAGCTTACAATAATCAACTCGAGTTCGTCACGGGTACTGCAGGACGATGAGCGCCATGGAAAACTCAGTATATTCGTTTCAGTAACATTTTTTTTTTCTCTAGGTCCAACGCCCCCTTTTAAGAGCCTTGGTCGCCCCCCTCTATCTTCTATGTTACATTCGTGTGTCCGGGGACACTGGGCCTCTTAGTGGCCACAAGGGATGGCTGTCTTGGCGAACGACAACGGAGCGGAAGCAACTCAAAATGAGAATGGGATGAGCCGTTGCTCGCGTGAGAGTTGCCTCCAGATTTGCCGGGCCGTCTCGTACCTCCTTACATGAAAGGGGGCAGAGAGAAGGGGTAACCGCCGTTCTTGATGCGGAACACGCTGAGGAGGAAGCTGTACATAAGGAAGAGGACGCCGCCCCAAGCCAAGACGGCGACCTGCTGTCTCTTGCTGTCACCGATGCGAGGAACTTTGACGATAAGAGAGATGGCGCAGAAAGATAAGACGCCGTCTAAGCTTTGTTAGTTCTGGAGGAGCAAACAACCATTGGAAAAGGTGGGATAGGGGGGACATACAAATGGCGGCAACAATCTGCGTCTCGAGGCCAAACTGGTTCTGGAAGCCACCGGCAAAGTAACTGATGCCACCACGACCGTCTCCGGCGACGTAAGGGACCTTGCGGATGTGGTTGAACATGTGGCCGCTGGTGAAGAGCAGAATGGCAATGAGACTGATGGCGGCCCACAGGTTGCGGTTCTGGATGATGGGGATGATGTAGGGCGAGGCAGTGACGAGGACGGTCCCGGCACCAAGAACAATGGTGGTGACGGAGATTAGGCGCATCCAGTTGATGGGGCGCGTCATTGGGGGGTGGGGACGGCCGGTAAGGTGCCGTGTGAGCCAGGCATGGACCTGCTCGGCAGACTGAGGTCTATTGCTTGTTAGCTTCTCGGCGAGCCACAGCAGTTCCGGCAAGAGTTCAACTTACCCGCTAGTGAAGTCGTACTGCAGGGGGTCCGCAGAAGGAACGGCGTGAGGGCCAACGGTGGGCTGGAATAGGAGCAGAACTGGGGCGGTTTGGAGGCCGAGCTAGGTGACGATTGTGTTAGCGACGCAGCTGTGCAGTGGCTTCTTTGCAAGTACACATACCGACATGAAGATCTCGCGGCCGTCGGAGAAGTCCAGAGTACCGAAGAGAAGGCGCGAATCGCCTTTCTTGTCACCCTTGATCCAGGTCTTACCCAGAAGATCCCATTCCGGCTGGAATTCCCGGCAAAGCTGGCAACCGAAGCGGTTCTCGAGGGCAGTCAGAAGGACTGCGACGGTGTAATCACGAGGTGCCGAGGTCAAGGCCCTGTAGCTGCTGTCGGCAAGCTTGATGGGGGACGAGCTGAGAGCCTTTGTGTGGTATTCTGTGAAGCGTTCCTCGGTGGTCTTCTTGGCTGCAAAGGCACTGGCGGCGAAGCTAGTCGCGACCAGTAGAGATCGGAAGAAATGCATTTTGGGGGGCCTGATATAGGAGACGGGGTGGCAATCGAATAGTGGTTTGCGGTACGGAGTCCGTGGCCAATTGGCCTTCGTATTCGGTGGCGGTGAAGTTGTCAACCGTAACGAATGGGTGCGCTGCGAATGTGTTTGTTGTGGTGGTGGCGGCGGTCGTCGTCGTCAGGATCACACTGAACAATGAAGGTCCAGGTCCGTGGTGTTGAGCTCGAACTGGACAGCTCTCATCAGCGGTTGACAGCCCACACAGTGGAGTTGTGTTGCAAGCTGGCGGAACGAGTACGTACCGGCCACAGAGCCGAAGCTTACCCGGAACCGGGAATTATTTTGTCCTGTCCGGGGAAACGATTCTCTGACTCTCTGAGAGATGTCGCGCCAAAGACACAGTGGGGCAATGCTGCCTAGGGTGGAGCGGGTGGGGCTCACACCGTTGGTTGATGGGCTAACCGTTTTGGGAACCATGTTTACCTCGCTGGACCTCTATTCCCAAATCCATCCGCAAACACCACCCATCCATCAACCCCATCCAAGCATCAACATCGCCAATCTCGAACGACACCAGTGCGGGCCTCAACGATCTTGCGCTCTGTTTTCGATACCGAATCTGCGTCCACTTCCCTCGATAGTAGGACGTATCCCTTCGCTGTTGGTTGGCTACTTAGCCCCAACGTCTCGTCGCGCCCACGCGCAGAAATACACACACACACACATACACAACCAACTCCCACAATGCCTTGCAAAACGAGGAACATGGAATCGGACGAGGCAAGTGATTGAATCTTTAAGCAGCAGTGCCACTCACTGCGACGAGACCCATTCTGACCACCGGCGTGTGCAGCGGATGGCAGCGGCTCACGAGCTGGAGATGAAGCACCAAAGACATGTACACACCGCCCAGCTCATTGTCAAGGATGAAGATACGAGAAGACAAAAGGTCACCAAACAAATTCTCCTTCACGAGAACTCGACATTGCGCGAGCAGCTTGCCGAAAAGGAATCTCAGATCAACCAACTTTCCGACAAATTCGATCAGGCGCGCAGTGACCTAGAATCGTTGAAGGTGACAAACCGCGACCAGGAAACACAGCTGAAAGCCCAGAGGAGGGAGTTTGACCACATCAAGGTTGGTTTACGCTTACCTAGGATCGATCCCTGGCCTTTCACGAGCTGTGCTAACTCTGAGCGTGCCAGGCCGAACTCGAATCTCTCAATAGCATGTCCCACGAGTCGACCAAGGTGCTGGCCGAGAAGCTCGCTCTGTCCAGAGAGGTGAACACCATGAAGCCCGAACTAGAACACCTGCGGTCGCAAGTCGCCCACCACCAAAACGCAATCGCCGAGAAGCTGGAATTGGAGCGTCAACTCAACATGGCTGAAGTGGAGCTGGCCGCCGTGAAACGAGCACGAGAAGAACAGGCGGCTCAGGCGGAGGGCGACAGGACAACCGAAGAAGAATTGCGACGTAAACTCAAGGATGCCGAAAAGAAGTTGACCACCGAGAAGCGTGAGAAGGAACAATTGCAGGAAGAGCTGGAGATGGCCGCATCCGCTGCCAAGGCGGAACAGGCCAACTCAAAGGTCGAGCGCGAGCTGACAAAGAAGCTTCAAGAGCTCGAAAAGACGCTCTCCGCCGAGAAGCGGGAGAGGGAGAAGATGCGCAGGGAGAGCGAGGTCGCCCTGTCAGAAGCCCAGGCCCAGAACGAAATGCTCGAGCAACGTCTCGACACGGTCAAGTCCAAGCTGCGGAACACGCAGGAAGAGCTCAAGGCAGTTCGCGCAGAACTGGTCGGCCGGCCGGTGGCCGCAACAACGTCGCAACCCGCTGCACGCGCTGCAGGCGCAAAACCGCAGGTTGGCCGGAAGCGAAGAGTCGAGGAACTCACCATTAACGACATGAGTATCGGAACTCCGGAAGAAATCACTCGCGGCAGACGCCCTGCTAAGAAGAAGGGCCTTGAGCAGTCTCTTTTGGGCGAGAAGTCGCTGTTCTCCATCACGCCCTTCTTAGCGAAGTCCAAGACGCTCAACGTTGAAGATGCAGTTGCCGAAGAGGACGAAGAACAGAACGAGGCTGATGTTAGCTATATTCCCCTTTCCCATCAGTCCCAGTCTCAGTCTCAGGAGCTCGAGGTTGAGGCCGAACCAGAGGTGGACGACGAGGCTGAGCCTGAGGAAGCGGATGAGGAGGAGGCTGAAGTACCAGAGGAGAAGCCTGCCAAGCCCAGCAAGGTCACCAAGGCCAAGCCGAAAGCCAAGGCCGAGGGCGAAGCGAAGAAGCCTCGCGGCAGACCCAAGAAGGCTTTGGCCGAGGCGTCCACCAACGTGCCCGTGCAGGTGGCTCCGGCTGCAGTTAGCAAGCCCTCGACCAAGGCGAGCTCATCTCTCGAGCAGGTGCCGGAAGAAGCCGAAAGCGAACGAGAAGAGGAGGCAGCGCCTCCAAAGGCTGCCGGCGCCGGCAAGAAGGCCACTATACCTGCGGCCACCGCCGTGGGAGGAGGCGACCAGGAAACCAAGAAGAAGAAACGCAAGCTTGGCGGTGATACGGCGACCCTGTTTGACGACGACGACGAGGTTGCTCCTGCTGCTACTAAGCGGCCAGGCAAGGCTGCTTTGGGTGCCGGAAAGGCTCTCGGCAAGACTCACCTGACCATGGTGCGTAATGCCGGCGCCTTTGGTAAGAAGACGTTCTCGCCGCTCAAGAAGGACAGGAGGGGAGTCGGTGCGAGCTTCCTGGCGTAAGGAGCTTTTGTACCCTTGCATTTACAGGCGTATGAGGCTACGTTATGTCTGGGTTTCCCGGCTTATGAGGAAGGCGTACAAGGGCATACAGGATAATGCATGGGTGGCGTTTTGGGTTGTTTTTTGGGGTGGGGGGTTCTGAACGAGGCCGGTGTACAGATAGGGTTGGTTCTGATCAATTGAAGAGGCCCAACCAGCTGCATTGTGACACGCCGATGTTATCAAGCGAACAATTGAATGAGAAACCGATCCATTGTGACGAGACGGTTGAGAAGTTTTGACTCAAGGTTGGAGTTGGTTGAATACAGACAGACAGGCAGACAGATAGGACCCCCTGGTCGTACGGTGAAAGGAGCTTGGACCAATCAACTTTCTCGGCCCAGCTTCATTTGCAGAAGCTTCACTGCAGCATCTAAGATTCTCATCTCGTGCTTCGCGTCTCGACGGAGGCAGCGAATCCTCCCCTCACTAATCAGTATCAAATCCCGACTTGTATCGCAGGGCTTTTCTTATTCTTCTACGTAGAAAGCCTCAAAATTCTCTACCCAAAGTGGTCAGGTGTGCAGAGGGGGCCAATTCCATCATCCTCGTGTTCTTCAACCTCACCCCCCTCGCCGGCACCATGTCAAAAGCAGCAGCATGTCGCGCTCTGTTAGGCGCGACGAAACGTCCGACGACCATGACCGCAGTCTCTGGGTGTCTGCAGTGCCGAATCGACATCGTTGTCAGTCGCCAGACGCGGGCATCATCGTCCAACTCGCGGTGGAAGATGAGGCAGGGCAGGGACATGTTTGCGCGCGAGGCCAAGGTGCAGGGGCTCAAGAGCCGGGCTGCGTTCAAGCTTCTCGAGGTACGAGTATCCTGCGAACCCATACCTTTCTGACGCGGACCAGCTGATCTATATCCGCAGATGGATGCCAAGTACAAACTCTTCCGCAAGGGACAGACGGTTGTGGACCTGGTATGTGTTCACATGTGTCATTCAGAAGAAGAAACCCTCTTCATGAAAAGTACACAAGACTGATGTTTTTTTTCTTTTCTTTCGAAAGGGGTACGCCCCAGGCAGTTGGTCGCAGGTATGAAGGACCCCTCCCAGGCGCGAAGCTCACCGGCGCGGTCCTGCCAAAAGGTTGGGTTCATGACGTTTAGATGTGACAAAACAGGTCGCCGTCGAGCGGACGAAACCCAACGGCCAGATCCTCGGCATCGACATCATCCCCGCGCAGCCGCCCAAGGGCGTCTCGACGATCCAGGGCAACTTTCTGTCGCCCGACGTTCAGGACATGGTCAAGGAGTACCTCTCGAGGGCCAAGAGTCGCAAGTCATCTTCGCCGCCGCCGCCGCCGCCGGAGTGCGAGCAGGACAACGAAGCCGCGGTGATGGACGAAAGACCAAGCTTCATTGACATGAAGAGGGCGGCTTCCGAGACCGTTGCAGAGGCGGAGGCGCCACCCAATGCCGCGGACGGGGCAGAGGCCAAGAAGGGGCGGCTGGTGGACGTGAGTATTGCGCATCCCTCGATACTTGTTGCATCGGCCCCCTCCACATGAGCATGGGCTAACTAACCAACGCGGGCAGGTTGTGTTGAGTGACATGTCAGCACCTTGGGACCAAACATCCGGCTTCGGCGTGAACAGTCTTAGTAATCCCTATAGCAGGATGATGAACACGAGCGGCATGGCCTTTCGAGACCACGCCGGCAGCATGGTGCGCCTGCTCTCCCCTCTTCCCCTCACACGCCGGAACTCGACTGACTGAGAAAAACGAGCCATCAGGACCTCTGCGGCGCCGCGCTCCAGTTCGCCAACGACACGCTCAGGAACGGCGGGCACTTTGTTTGCAAGTTCTACCAGGGCTCCGAGGACAGGGCGTTCGAGAAGAAGCTCAAGACGCTGTTCGCCAAAGTCTTTCGGGAGAAGCCCGAGTCGTCGCGCAGCGTATGTTTCTGGGCCACCGACCCGCCGCCAATCTTCTTTCTTGACTTTCGGGGGTCTGACGTTGACACAATCTGTAGGACTCCAAGGAGGCATACTTTGTGGCGCTCAGGAGGAAGGGCAACGTGGAGTTGGAACGAGACTAGAGTTTGTAACCAATTTCGAGGTATCCCTAGGTTATGGGAGGCATGTCACGAGTTTCCAGTGTCAGTCTTATAAGCTCTCCCCTACCCGCATTGAGATACGTCAACAGTGATGCAACAACTGTGACTGCGAGAATATACACACATGCACGATCATCACAAACGAAGTGCCAATTGATGATGTGTGTGAAGTGTGAAAAAAAAAACAAGCCAACCTGAACGGCCGCCCAAGAGATGCCATTCGACGCCATGCGAGAGAGTTCGTAGTCGTCAATTCTTTTTTGGATACCTAAACACGCCAGTACCATGCAGAAAAATTTCCCTGTAGAGCACGGCGGATGATTCCCATCCCCGCCGGCATACCATAGCGTGTCCACCAACGCGACGCGAGCGCGCACGACCAACCCCGATAGTTTTTGCGGTAGAGATCCGAGTGATGATGGTGATGGCCACCAACGCTTAGACCTTGAAGCCGCGAGAGCGTCTGCGACCACGGGCCTTCTCGAACTTGCGGCCCTTGGACTCGACGTAGGGCTTCTGCAGAGTGTGTCAGTATACGTTCCGGGGCCGGGCGGCGGCAGCGCGGGACAAGGGGTGATACGAACCTTGTGCTTGTGGGGACCGAAGCCGAAGTGCTTGACGGCCTCGCGGGAGTTCTTGGGTCCGCGGAGCAGCAGGGTGTTGCTGCCGGTGGGGGCGCGGAGGGCAAGCTGGTCAAGGGTGATGGCCTCGCCGCCGGCAGCAACGATGCGAGCACGGGCGGTGGCGGTGAAGCGCAGGGCGGCGACAGTCAACTTGGGGACGGTCAGGAGACGGTTGTCGTCAGTGACGGTACCAACGATGACGATGGTGCGCTTGTCGTCCTTGTTCAAGTTGCCGACGATGCGGGAGATGGAGACGGGAGGACGGTTGATGCGCGACATGAAGAGGCGGCGCAGGATGACCTTGTTGAAGCTGGCGTCGGTGCGACCTGGTAATAAGATGTTAGCACGTCTTCCGAGGGTTTTTTTTCTTTTTTCTTTTCCATTCGATGGCAGCTTCTTCTTTCTTTACGTTTCCGGCCAGTCATGGGTGGAGGGAACAGAACGTACGGGTCAGGAAGCGGTAGAGCTTCACCAAGAGCTTAAGGTAGACATTGTCGCTCTTGGGAGCCTTGCGGTGCGTGCTGCGCACGTGGTGGCGGTCGAGATCGATACCTATAATCAGGGTGAAGAGCCCATCGTCAGCCTTTTGGTTCAAGCATGCTCTGAATGAGGCGGGAGTCCATCGATCCGTCGACCACGGCAGAAGAGAGAGCCTGGCCACAGCTCCCCGCGTGAGCGCAGGAAGACGTGGAAGCAATCTCGTCTTTGGTGGGAGGAGAGGATCTTTCTTTTGTCCGCGCGCCCAGTTCGCAGAATAGCAACAGCAGAATCCAGTTCCATCTGCTCTCGAATCGCGTCCCTCGCGGACGAGGGACCGAGAAAAGCAGGGGAAATAAGAATCTGCGTGCACAATCCACTCGCATGTAAAGGCTTGGAATGGGAATTCCTACGTACCCATTTTGTCGAATGACTCCCGAAGTTGGCGAACTGAGTCAAATGGGCGGCCGTGATGTTGTCGTCGTCGTGTTGCAAAGGGAAAACTCTCAAGAGATTTCCGAGGTGGGATGCCACAATTACGCCCCTTCCCGCACGGCACAAAAAAAATCCTGCTGTGTGGGCTTAGGGCAAAGTGCAAATGGAAAATGAACCAATCAGGGGTCGCCATTGGCGAGTGGATCAATGAATTTCCCGGTGGGGCCCGCTAGACCTAGGCTGGGTCGGTTGGGTCGGGGTGGGTCGGACTCGGAGCTGCAGCAACAAACACGGCGGAGCCAACAGGACCCCTTGCCAGGCTTCGGTCAGCAATGTTTTCTTCCTCGGTGAGAGCCAGGTGTACTGCATATCAAGTTCAGAGATGCCCATGCTGATGAACATGGCGACTACCTATAGTGGCGAGTGAAGAACGAGGGGGACAGAGAGAGAGAGAGAGAGAGAGAGAGAGAGAGAGAGAGAGAGAGAGAGAGAGAGAGAGAGAGAGAGAGAAAGGAAAAGAAAAGCAAGAGGCAATAAGCACTGCTGTACCATCACAGTCTCGAGTGAAACAACATGACCACTTCACCAACGTGCAAGAGACTAGATTCACGTCCTGTATTGAGGCAATCCTTGGTCTATCTAGGCCGGCCCTGCAGCACCGGTCCGCTTGAGATGCCGGTGTGTAGGTTCAGCCCTCCCATGCTGTGAGTGTGCGCAGGTAGCGGCAGCTCCTGCCAGCCCTGTTAAATGCTCGAGCGAGTCTTGTTGTAATACATTATAGAAACACTGATGGATAAAATGCCGGGATGGAAGTCACAGCCCGGGGAGGCAGTCTTTCTGCCCCGCTGTAGCCCCGACGGAGCCACTGTCTAAGAACAACCCAACCTCTCCATGCTCAATCCTTTTTCATAATCCTCCCGCTCAAATAGGGCTTGGGCCGAGCCGAGAGGAATCCTGTAAAGTAAGTTCTGCGACGCCCTCCACATCACATGGGCGTCTCAGAGTCGGCCTCGGGCTTGAGAGTGACCAAGAAGTCACGACATAACTCGAAACTGAGCCAGCTCGAGGCCATGCTGGGTGCGACCTTGAGCAGGTTGGGCACGATGCCCTTGTACATGCCCTTGAAGCCCTCCTGGGCAACAATGACCTTGACGGCATCAGTGATGGACTTGTACTGGTAGCCCATACCCGTCATGGTGTTGATCTGGAATCTTCGGCGCAGGACATCGCTATCGTCTTTGTTCAGCAGGGCCAGCATCGGCTTTATCTTCAACGCAACTTACAAGGGGTAGGTGCAGGTCTGGGCAACGGCACCAGAGATGGCACCAGCCAGCAGTTTCCGGACAGCGCTGGGGTTTTTGTCGCCCTCAGGGGTCAAGTACTTGCGAACCCATTCGTAGACCATAAAGTTGAGGCCGACCTGTCCATGCAATGTCAGAGCTGTCTGGATGGACGGGGCGTGTTTGCCTAGCGGATAAAACACTTACGTAGGGAGCGACACCAGCGACGGTAGGAACAATGCCTCTGTACAGTGCAGAAACACCGCCCTCAGTCTTGTACATCTTGACCATAGTAGCCCACATGCCGGGGAGCTTCTCGGATCTCGGGCCCAGCTCGGCAAAGGACGCAGACTGAATGGACAGTCGGGTGCGAACAATGTCAAGCGGGTATGTGAAGAAGACGGACGTGATACCAGCCATACCGCCACAGGTTAGACGGGCGATTGGAGAGAGGTCTGCATTAGGGGTCGACTCAAAGATGCTCTGCAAGCCGTTAGCCCACGCCTTCACACGAGGATGCGCGCAAGTTGTGCCAGTCGCACAAGGCATCTGTCCAGGGCTGGCAAAGGAACCAGGCCACCAAAGAGGCTGGTACTCACCCTTTTGTAGAAGTTGTAGCTGCCGAACTGAACAGCAGAGTAGGGCACAATGCGGACGCAATTGGTTCCGTTGCCTCTCATGAAACCTCTCCAGCCTTCCTCCCTCCACATCTTTGCTAGACCCTGGCCAACGGACAGCTTGTAGGCATCTCTTCCAACGCTCTGGATTTGGAACAAGATCTTGAGTCGCTCAAGAGGCGAAACAACGGTTCGGGAGACGGCACCGGCAACACCTCCGGCGCAGAAGGCTGCAACGACAGGCTGGGAGACAGTTTCGCGAAGGCGGACGAACTGAACCGGGACAGGGGGCGGAGCTGGAGCAGCCGCGGCAGGGACTGCCGCATTGTTCGGGGACTAAAAACGAAGATTGGACGTCAGCTATATGCTCTAGCCCTGATTTCCACCTTCTCCTCGCCCTCGGGGCAAGTGCCGGAGGGGACGATTCGGTGCAAGAGGTGAGTTTGGACGTAGGTGGTAGGTACACTTACAGACGACATGACTTCAGGCTCTGGTCAAGGAGCAGCGCGGGGGTATGTGTGTATTTGGTGCAGGCGCAGGACTCTTGGTTGACGACCACACTGGTGAACCTCTGAAGCCACCTTGTTGCTATGGCGTTGCTTGCATTTAAGGGTCCCAGGTGGATGGTATGGGAGGCGTCGTGTGTCGAGAAAGATTTGCGACTCCTGGATAAAAGACGGAGGAGCAGGGGTGGGAGGAAACGTGCTCCCAAAAACCAAAAAAAGAATGACCCAAAAAAGAAGATCGGAAGGAATATCCGTCAAGTCTAAGAGGAGATGGAAAACAGCGACGACGACATAATCGAGGGTTTATTCAAGGGAGAGGGGGGCTTTCCGAGCATCAGAGGCGTCTCGTGGTCGAGTCGGGACGGTCGACGAGAGTGGTGTTGGTGGTCGAGTGCGTATCGCGGTTTTTTTTTCTGGCCAAAGGTGTTGGTCAAGGGTGTCTCCCATATGCCGCGGCTAAGGCGCAGATGGACGTAGGGTCAACAACAAGGGTCGTACGGCATGGAAAGGAAGCTTCGTCGACGGTGAAGGGGGCGGGAGAGCGCTTGCTTGGCGAATGGTGTATTTCTTCGAGTCAACGATAATCGGGTAGAGGCGCGCGTCGTCGTCGTCGTCAGAGGCGAGGGAAAGGGAAGAGTGGCAGGTCGAGGCTCGCGAATGGTTGGAGACGAGACGAGCGTCGATGCGGTCGGCGAAGAAGGGGAGGAACCGAAAGACGGACAGCGAAACAGGTGGCTCGAGAAAAGGGGAGCTTTTGTGCCGAGGCCGTTGACTGCGGAAGCAAAGCAGTCAATGAGGGGCGGAAGACGAGGTCGCGAGAAGAAAGGAATCAGCAAGCTGGTCGGTCGTGACAGACACCGGACGACCAATACACGGACGCAGACGCAGATCAGAGATGAGATGCAGATGCCAGAACTCAGCTCCCTGTAATTAGGTACCTAGTAAAGTAAGTGGTATGTAGTGTACCTACCAGCGAGGTAAGGTAGGCGGGTAGGTAGGTAGGTAAGGCAGTAGGTATAGACCCACGGAGCAGTTAGTGACAGTGGCGCCATTAGCATTCACTGACTACCCGCGGTACCTGGTAGGTGAGGCGGACAAGCGCAAGTACCGGTACCTCCCTACCTGGAAGAGACCCAAGTGACACACTGCTGGGAACCAACCACGGCATCCCCGTTGCCCGCTGACAGAGTCAGTTCCAAACCGAAAGGGCAGCCTTTGAGACGAACAGGGAAAAAAGACGTCACGAACCGCTACTTTAGATAACCCCAGCTGGCCCGTGGGAGTGCTCTCCGACCGACCTTCTCTCTCTCTCTCTCTCTCTCTCTCTCTCTGCTTTGCTCACTCTTCTGCACGCCCATGACGACAAAAAGCCTGGGCCGGGGGAGGGAGGGAATGTACGCTACCTAGCTAAGTAGGTCCAGTGAACAAACAGTACGACGGATTGCTTGCAGTCTAACGACTGGAGCCCCCTCGCATGCTGGCATGGCAGATGATAAGACAGGAATACACGAAAATCTCGAGGCCACCCTCCCGCGGGACTGACAATTAGCGCCATGCTTGGCTTGAATGCTGCTTGAATGCAATGCGAGTTTGAGGAGCTGTCCCTCACGAGATGCTGCGACACTTGAGCAGTCCCAAATATCCAAAACTCTTTGTAACAATGCCGTTCTTGTCGACCCCGTTCCGTGTCAGATTACGAGCCACATCACACACTCTCCAACCAGGGACAGCCGGTCACTGCTAATCCGACATGTCCTTTCCTCCTTCAAGCTCCGGAAGCCGCCTTTTCTCTCCTCGACTTCGGCTTCATCCGGGTTACATCGGAGCCACTTTACCGAATACCCTTCCCCCCTCCTCCGGATTGTTCCTATCAACGCCGACAAGCGCGTCTCTCTTTTCTTGCTTCAAAAAAAGAAAAAGAGAGGGGGGGGGAAGATAAAAAAAAAAAAATTAAAAAAAAAAGAAGGGGCACCCACCCCCGCCTCCATCTTCCCCGCTTCACCAACGACGCCTTGAAGGACTGTGCGGGTGCGAGTGAGCTTTTGGCAGCTCGACTGTGCCGAGGAAGAAAGAACCTCAAATATCTCCGCTCTCGTCAAAACGTTGATCCGCTTCATCTCCACGAACCAGGGAGATGCCGAGAGCCGCCTCCCATAAACTAACCGATCATCGCGTACAACGAACGGACTTGTCTACGACAGCCTGCCTAACATGGTGCTATTCAAGAACACGGGCAAACCACCGTGTGCTTGCTTGCTGGACAGCCCATCGTGACGCGGGCCACGCCAGACGCGGTGTGGATGGCGAATTAAATACAAGGTCACCTACCTATCTGCACGGCGTCGTTATTGACTGGACCCTCACCGCCCCCTTCTCTAGGGGTTCGTCTGCGAGTGCTGACGAGGCCGGTTTCCAACAACATTGAGCTGCTGAAGACATGGTACATTGATACCAACATTCCCGCGGCTCCTACGTTGCACAACCGACAACTCGACAACGACCGTCCTGTCTCCAGTCCGGTGAGGAGACGAGACGAATCTCCCACTTGTCACGTACAAAGGCTACACGAGTAAGTGCTTCTGCAAAGACCTACATTCAATTTCTAAACTACTATAGGGGTAATGCTATCAAACCGGCCGCCTGCCAGAATCGCGCGTCGTCTCGAACTCGTCGCCGAATGCGGAGGGGTGGGGGGATCCCGCCGATGGTCGATGTTCCGATGTGCCTGGCAGCGCGAGTGCTGCCTTGGTGTCGAATGGCCCAGGCCTCGCGCGCGGAGCTCGAACAAGCCGAATCGGTCGCATCGAGCCTAAAAAAGCTCCCAGAAGGTGAGGACACTTTACAGATCCAGATTCAAATGATAAAATAGGTAGGACACCAGGAGAGGGAATCAGAAAACTTTTGGCATAGCCGTGCACAACCCGACAAGAGAAATTGCCAAGTATACTTATCACTCCGCAGCAACATCCAGGTCATCATGGGCGGGAGGGGGACTGTCCAGGGCTACGACGACGTCAAGGTCAGTCTTGTGTCTGCAAGCAAAATTCCGTCGTTGGGGACAACGTACGCTTTCTGTCGTCACCGTTGGTACCGTTCTCACGGGGTTCTCGGTCGTCACGGTCGTCCTTGAGGTCCCGGTCACTGTTCTCAAATCAGTATCACTTGCTCGTCTGTTTGCGTTGTCAGGCGGGGGGGCACGGACCGTCGGTCAGGGCTGCGGGAACGCTCGCGAGTGTCGCGTCGGTCGCTGCGGTCGTAGTCACGGTCGCGGTCCCGGCGGTCATCCTTTTTGGGAGAGTAGTCGCGGGTGCTGCGTCGGGGAGAAGGAGAGCGGCCACGACGAGGAGAAGAGCGGCGAGGAGCGCGCTCACGATCCCGGCCAGAGTCGAATCGCCACGACGCACTAGGAGGTGTGCGAGCCCACTACAGAACGTACGTCGTCAGCATGCAAGACCCACTGACCATCGAAGCCTGGGCGTCTGTTTCTCACCTCGATCTTCAGAATGTCGTCACGGCCGATGCGCTTGTTGTGCATCTCATGGTAGGCATCGTCAGCGTCGCGACGATCCTCGTACTCAACAAAGGCGAACCTGAGGGAGGGGAAAAAAGGTCAGACTCGACTTGGGCATAGGATGGAAGCGATAGTGGAGAGAGAGAACTCACAGTCTGCTGGAGGCCGATCGAGGTGCAGGGATGTCGCAGCGGACAAGGTGTCCATAGCTATCGTCAAGTCGGAACGTCAGCATGTCGATACATACATGGGGAACCGGTTTGTTTGGTCATTGTGGACAAGACGTCGGCCGTCGTCGGCATAGCAGAACCTGCTGGTGTTGTTCGAGCTGCCACGGGAGCGCTGGCAGGCCACGGCGGCGCGGACAACGGGCGATGGTTTGTAAGGCAGCCGGAGCGAACGAGGACAGGACGCATCGACGAGGGGACGGAGGACGGAGGACGAGGGAAGCATATTTGATGCTGGAGACAGGAGCAGCGAGTGCGAAAGTGCGGGAGGACGGAGGCGGTGGGCGGGGAGGCAGCGAGCGAGCGAGGCAAGGAGATGAGATATCGAAAACGTCGGAATGGGTCTCGCGTGCCGTAAAAACAGGACGGAGGGAGGCATCGACGTGGGAGTGGTTTTCTGGTGTTCAGTTGACATACCGTTCGAATTCGTAGGCGAGGTCTCGGGCGCGAGTTCCGTGGCTGAAGCCAGTCACGTACAAGGTGGTGCCACCGCGCGACATGATTGCTGTGCTGACTTGGCTTGCAAAGACAAAAACGAAATAGAAAGGGTTCAGCTAGCTAAGGAGATGAAGAAGAAGAAGAGCAAGAAGGAGAAGAAGAAGGGAAGGCGTGTCGTCTCGCGATGGAGATGCAGCGATGATGAGGGCCTGATGGAACAGAGCCACGTGACGGGGAAGTTGGATGCGCGTGGTGGTTGTTTGGTGATGGTTTTTGTTTGAAGAGGAGAAGAAAGAAGTCGGTCGGTCGGATCGGCCAGGCGCAGCAAAAAAGATTTCGGTACGGGACGGGAGCCAGCAAGCGAGTGAGCTTGGACGGCGAAGAAGCAGAGGAACGAATCCGCAATCAGGTCTCAGCCCCGTTTTTTGACTCAGAATGGCCTGGTTGATTGGTGGAAGCACTACCGCGCCCGGAGGTCGAGGACTCGGGCGGCTTACGTAACGACAAGCACGCGCGCGCATGCATTATGTAGGTAGGTACTAGTACTAGTGTAGTGTACCTACCTGGTGTACGGATCCTCCTAACGAGCAGTGGAATGCACGCTGGGGCCTCTCTCCGTATTCGGCTTCCAGAAGGCTCGAAACGCGCTGCGCTGGCAGGTGCCTCCACCGCAACGTCGTCAAGTCGTATACAGTAGTGACTACTGACTCAATAATAGGTATCTACCCATTTTACAAAAGGCAAATAGGTACGGATACTTTATCCAAGGTAGCCAAGGTGGAGTGATGTCATGGTAGACCAAAGACCGGAAACTTGCCTACCCACCCTAGGTGCCTATCGTACGTACTTGTACCTGTCAGTTTACTTTATACGGAGTATACTATTTATATAGTAGCTTCCCTATCCAAAGGTGAACCGACCGACCGACCGAATCCACCTCACCGAGAATTGCCGCATCACAACACATGCCGCCTCGGGAGCAACTGGAGAACGACAAGCCAGGGTTGCGCCTCTGGTACTGTATAGAATGTCTGAACACTGCAGGAACAACACTGGCAGACGGACGACCCGGGTTCGGCGTTTCTCTTTCCGTTTCCGGCCTCCTACATACTACAGGTATATACTGCTAGGGAACAGCACAGAGACCGCATCTACCCACCGCTTGCCGAGCTCGGGGTCAAACAGCCAAACGTGAGGTGAATGGTGTGTGATGCATGCTCTTGAGGAGAAACATGCCTTTGCCATATAATATATAATGCGTAGGTATTGTCACGCTCCCTCCCTTCTCGAACGTCTACACTACGTAGCACCTAACCGATCGAAGCATTCGAGACAACGAACAGAGACATATGGGGTAGCTTGCTACCTATACCTGCTCATGTCTCTGCCGCTTTGGCCGGTTTCGTCAGAGTCCACTTGCACGAATCCACATGGTGCCACCTCATCGTTCCCGGCTCCGCGTTGATCTCCGGTCTCCGGCGGAAGAGGCGGGAGGGGCGCGTGCCAGCGGACAACTTTCAATCGGCATCTCACCCACACCTAGTAAACTCTACGCGGTAGTCAACTTAAACTACAATCGAGCATGAGCCCACCCGCCTGTATTCACGTCGTAGTGCATACCTGACACCGCGGAACCGTCGGCCGCGGTCGACAGATCGCCTCCCATCTGCGCATGTAAGAAGCGGACAACCCGCGATAGTAAGCCCCGGCAGATCCGTAAATCCAAACAACGCTGTGCCTGCTTGCTTGCTTGCTATTTGTATACACCATGCCATTGCCACATCCCAGCCCACATCTTCCATCCGCTCATGTTTCATCCCATCTCTGCACACCTCCATATTCTCTGCTCAACAATTCGTTCCTCTACCCTCTTGCGGAAAACAGTCGGTACTCGACAACATCGAGTCATTGGCAAACTTACCCGTACAACATCCGTGCCACACATCCCAGTTGCGGCGAGCCAGCCGTCGTGACATCGGCCTCAAAAGCCCATCGTTTCTCCTTTTTTCCCACACATGCCTGCCACAACTTGACTCTCCTGCGTCCTTGGTCCTGATCGATTGTTTCTATCAAAGAAGCGACTGTGGGGATTGGCGTCTTCGGTTCACAAGAGTGTTGCTGCATCATCAGAGTATCCCCGCGCTGCCAACTTGAGTACTACTTCCACCAACTGTCTGCCGTACGCCAGAGTTAGCTTCACTTACTGCTTCCCGCCGTTTCAATACAAAACACAACGAGGACGCATTTGAGGACCCCGAGGCCGGCATCCATGCAAGTCTCAATGCCCGCTTCTCCAGAACCGCCCCGTCCGTTGCGAGACGCCCTGGAAGCTACAAGCGGCGAGCGCGCCATCTCGACGACGCCGTCGGAAAGTACAAACGAGGAGGACTACGACGACCCGAAGCTGGCTGCAAGACAACGCAAGGAACGGGCCCCGGCCCGGCCCGCCCGTCCCGGCGCATCGCCGTCACTGAACACGCCGTCAAAGCGTGACGGGACGCTGTCTCTGGACGGCTCGACCTTGTCCGAGACCTCGAGCGTCGATGAGTCTCTTCTTCGCGACGACAGCGGCCGTCTCAAGGCATATTTCCTGTCACCCGATGACCGCGAGCTATGCGATGTCGTCAGGAGGGGGCTAGAGAGGGTAAGCCAAGAAGCTTTTGCTCTGCCGATATGACGAAAGGGCGGGAGAGGGAAAAAGAAAGAAAAAAGACCTTAGCGACTCACACGCACACCGCAGGAGAAAGACCCAAAGAGGCCAACGCGGCCGAGCAAGTTCAGAGACTTGGTCTTCACGCGCCGGTTTTCCACCTTTGACAGGCAGAACCAGCAGACGGCCAACAGCCCCTTTTACGGCTTCTACACGCTGTTCTGGATGGCCGTGGCGCTCTTCGTCGTCAAGATCGGCGCCTCCAACTGGAAGGCGACGGGGAGCCCTCTGGGCACCAACGACATCATGAAGATCATGTTCCGCCGCGACGTGGTTGTCCTCCTCGCGTCCGACGGCGTCATGTGCGCCGCCACGGGCGTGAGCTGGATCCTGCAACGCCTCATCTTCGGCGGCTACATGGACTGGGACGGCTTCGGCTGGATCGTCCAGAATGTGAGTGGGAATCCTTCCCCCGTTCGTTTCGCGACAGACAGAGCCTTACACACGGGGAAATGGGGCAGATATGGCAGTCCGTGTTTATCGGCAGCGCGGTCGGCCTCACCCTCATCCGGGACTGGCCCTGGACGCACACCGTCTTCTTCGTCCTCCACGCCATCATCATGCTCATGAAGCAGCACTCCTACGCCTTCTACAACGGCCACCTCTCCTCGGCCTACAAGCGGCGGAGGTCGCTCCTCTCGAAGCTCAAGCAGCTGGACAGAGTCGCTCCCGTCGAGGCCCGGTCCGCCACCAGCCCCTCCGCGTCGGCCGTCGACCTCTCCCACCTGGCCAACCCGCCGTCGGCGGCCGAGATGGAGGTCCGCCGGCAGTCCGCCGCCCACGTCCGCCGCTCCGACGAGACCGACCTGGACCGCATCTCCCACGCCATCGGATCCGGACGGCCCCTCGACGCCGACCAGATCCGGGTGTTTGAGCGCATCATCCGGTGGGAGGTCGACGGCCTGACGGACGAGTTGAGGGGCAAAGCGACGAGCGTTGTGCGGGCGTACCCCAACAACCTTTCCCTCAAGAACCATTACGAGTACATCGTCTTGCCCACCTTGGTCTACGAGCTCGAGTATCCGCGTTCCGATTCCATTGACTGGTTCTACGTCGCCGAGAAGACCGCCGCCATGTTCGGCATCATCTTTGTCATGATCATGGTGTCGCAGGCCTTCATCTGTGAGCCCCCCTCATCATCCCCCCCCCCCCCCCCCTGGCTCTGCGGCCCCGCCGATATGTAAATCTTGTTGAATACAACAACTCTAACGTGGTCAATAGATCCCGTCGTGATGCAGACCTTGGCTATGAAGGAGACCGGAATGCCCTTATCCGAGCGCGTTCGCTACTTCCCCTGGTTGCTGAGCGATCTCGTCTTCCCGTTCCTGATGGAGTACCTGGTGAGCGACGATGGCCGGGCCAACGCAGGCTCGAGACTCTTGAGACTACGTGCGGGACTGACACGAAGCAGATGGTGTGGTACCTCATCTGGGAGGCCATTCTCAACATCCTCGCAGAAGTCACCTACTTTGCGGACCGAAGCTTCTACGACGCCTGGTGGAACAGCGGTACGTCCCCCCCTCCCCTCCCCCTATGAGTCTCGCTCGACCCGAATCACGGCGTGGCGGCTTGCTAATAGTGAACCAAAAAAAAAGTCTCCTGGGACCAATTTGCCCGTGACTGGAACCGGTGAGTCCATCATTCCCTGGGAGGAGTTGAGACGCACGCAGCTAGCTAACCCCCTCCTCCCCAGGCCCGTCCACATCTTCCTCCTCCGCCACGTCTACCACAGCTCCATCTCCTCGATGAAGGTGAACCGCCACACGGCGACCCTAATTACCTTCTTCCTCTCGGCGTGCGTCCACGAGCTGGTCATGTGGTGCATCTTTAAGAAGCTGAGGGGCTACCTCCTCTTTGCGCAAATGTGCCAGCTGCCTGTACGGTTCTCCCGCCCTCTGCCCCCCCCCCCCCCCCCTTCTTTCGTGAAAAGAAACAAGAAGCTGACGGAACGGAGCGCAGCTTGTCCAGCTGAGCCGCACGCGGTGGCTGAAAGGCCGCAGACTCCTGGGCAACGTCATGTTCTGGACAGGCCTCCTCACGGGGCCCAGCCTGCTGTGCAGTCTATACCTCGTGCTGTGATTCTACTCGCCCCCTTGCTTTTATTCCTTTTTCAATTTTCTTCTAAAAAAACCCCCCCTAAAAAGGTCTTGGCTCTTATCAGGGTTCTGCCGCAAGGCTTTCTTTTCTGTATGATGGGAAAGGAGAAAAGGTTGTCAATCACCGGCCTGTTCAAATCAATGCTTGAGTCTTCATCCCTGCTATTGCGGCTCAAGGCATGCGTAGTCACATAATCATCCAGAAACACAATAAGCTCGATAGCGCAATACATGGAGTTCATCATGGGATTCATTCAACTAAACGATCAATAAAGCCTCGCCGCAGTTTTGGCCTTTTTCTATCCTCGTGGGGGAAACATCAGACACATTCGCGCCGCGTTAAAAAATAAAAAAGTAAAAAGGAGGTTTGGGGGGAGGGGAGGTTCTTTTTCCTTCTTTTTTTTCTTCTTCCAAGACGGTTTACAAGCCCTGCTTTTCGGCCGTCGCCATAAGAGATCCTGTGACGGAGTGTCAGCACCGGAAACGGCACGAAACCAAAGGGAAAGGAGGGGCGGGGATCGACTTACCGATGAAGGTGGTCACCAGGCGGCTGCGGACCTGGCAAATATCCTCGGGCACCAACCAGATGGTGGCGCCCATCTTTCTCGCAATGGAGATGCTGAGCTTGGCGTTGAGGTAGGCGTCGTCGTCCGTGTGGCCGGGGGTGACGAGGTCGTAGTCGACGTAGCTGCTCTTCATGCCGTTGAGCACGTCCAGCAGGAAGACGCCGGTGCCGATAGCGGGGTCCTTGAAGGATCGGATGGCGGACGACTTGCCACCCTTGCGGGACATGTCGTTGGCCCACCTGACCATCTCGGCGTCCGTGATCTCCTTCTTGCCCAGACGCTGCGCCAGAGTCGAGAGGGTGACGGTGATGTCTCTGCGCATCAGCTGCCACACCAGGCCGAGGGTCAGGGTCCGCTGGCCGTCGGTGATGTCCGCGCCCTGGATGCCGACGAGCGAGAAGCGGTTCTGCTTGCCGAGCTCAATAGCGTAGTTTGTGTTCTCGACGGCCTTGAAGCGCATCATCTCGCCGCCATGCGCGGGGGGCTTGTTGACGTGGCGCCAGTTGACGGACCCCTTGATGACCTTGTCGTACGCTTGAAGAAGGACTGTGCCGTCGCGCAGGTCGTCGAAGAAGGACTGGACGGCAGGCTGCACGTCCAGGCTGTTGAGCCAGAGGGTGAAGACGCGGGCCTCTCTCTCTCCTTCGGCGTCAAAGTCCTCCACCTCGAGCTTCTCCTCCTCGGTGATAGGGTCGAGGGCGGGGTGGGTGTTAAACAGGTTGGCAACGAAGGCCAGGTTCAGCTTGGGGTTGCCGGCGACCAGCGATGAGGGCGTGAGGAACTTGCGGCACCCCATGTTGTCGGCAGTCTGCAGAATCTCCTCGGCCCTCTGCAAGAGATCTCTCGTCTGGAGGGGTGCTCTCGTCGCGCCGTATTCGGAACCGATCTGCGCCAGGAGAACGGTGTAGTTCTCGCCGTCCTTGATGTCGCTGGAGAAGTTGTTCACCCTGCGCGGGGAGGGTTAGTGGTGCGTCCGGCCTGGTCAGGGGGACAGAAGCAGCTTACCGTCTGGGCCAGTTGGCGGCCTTCAGGTGGTAGTTGAACCATCTGAGGAGAATCTGTTCGGGAGGCAGACGCAGGAATTGTTCGAGGGTCTCGTCGTCCTCGAGCAGGCGGTACAGCTCCGGGTGAAGCTTGATGTCAATCTTGCTCAGCAGGCCGCGGCGGATGATCTGCCAGATGAGGCCGAGGATCAGGTGCTCGCGGCCCTCGATAATGTCGCCACTGCCAATGTTAACAACGGACAGACCGATGCCCTTGGAGGACTCAATGACGATGTTGTTGTTCTCTGTCATCTGGAAGGCGTTGAGCTGCTTCTTGTTCTTTGGGCGGTTCAGGACACGCTCGTCAATGGTGTCGGGAACACTGTCGTTGATGAGCTTGGCCAGGACGAGACCGTCTTTGCACTCGTCGAACATCTCAAAGGTGTCGGTGGGGAAGGGGAGGCGGTTTCCGATATCCGGGTCGCCGGCCAAGACGGCATTGATGTGACGAGTGAACTCGGTCCTCTCGTCCTCGTTGATGGTGTGAGTGACGTTGGCATTGGAGCCCTGGACATGGATCTTGCCGACGCTCGACTTGGAGGCATGGCCGCTGACTTTTCCGGTGGCTTGGGCGACGATGCTGGCAGGAGCGGCGCCAGGGCCGGTGTTCATGCGTTTTTGGGCCGGGGAAGACTCTCGGAGCTTGGCAATCAACTGCAGGAGGCGGCATCGGGTTAGTAAAGAAGAAGAAGAAGAAGAAGCGGAAACCGGCTGTCGGGGGGGGTCCGAGGGGGGGGGACGTACTGCGACGTAGTCCTCCAGCTCGACTCTGCGGGAGGAGTCGAGTTCAACCTCCTTGAGGGCCTGTCGTACGACATCGTAGGGTTGGCGTTCGCTCTGCTGGGTGGCCTTGATGGCAGTGGCCTCATCGACGTAGCCCTTGTCGTCGACGTCGAGCTTGCGAAAGGCGTCGCTCAGGCCGTAGATTTCGTCCTGAGGGAACTGAGGATACTTCCTAGAGGCAGAGAGCTGTCAGCAAAGCGGCGGCTCGGGGGCGAGGGGTGAGTAAATTGGGGAATCGCAGAGTGCGGGGTGATTGCGGTTGCGCACCTCTGAAGCTTGAGAACGTTCATGTTGGCGCGCAAACAGATGGGCGAGGCCAAAGACTGTGTCGAGAAAAAGTGTGAAGTCGGCAAAGACGGGAGAGGGTCAGGAGAGAGGGATGATGGGGGGGAGTGGTCCTGTCCTGGTGTCGAGATTGCGCTCGGCGCGGAGGGAAAGTAAAGCGAAGCGAAGCGAAGCAAGCAGTTTGATCAGGGACCAAGCGGAGCGGTAGATGAGGTGCAGGTGCAGGAAGCTCCGGAACGCACGGACGGTGATGGAGTCTGGGACCGCGGCCAAGGTGGTGTTGTCTGTATCCGTTCCTCACGACGGGGGAGTGTGTTTTTGGGGAAAATCGGGAACAACAGTCGAGGATGCGACTTTTTTCTATTTTCTTCTCTTCGGTCGTTTGGTGGTTGTGTGTGTGTAGAGGAAGAAGTCAGAGTTGGAAAGGGGAGGCGAGGAGGGACAGGAGGGGAGCGGAGAAGGGAGAGAGACTGTGGGTGGGTCTCTTTAGCTGATGCCGTACATGTAGCTGCAGCAGGTATTATACAGGTAAGTAGGTAGTAGGTAGGTATCCGTAGGCAGATGTTATACCCAGGCCTATACTAATACTAATACTGCTGCTGCTGCTGCTGCTGCTGATGATGATGATAACAGGAGAGCAGCACACCTGCTTGCTCATCGCCGCAAGTCAAGGTTCAAGAACAGGGTTGAACGGGCCGGCAAAAGGCTGCGCAAATCAATGCTGCGTTGCGCTGCGCTGTGCTGTGCCTTGGGAATGCGAGAGATAGAGACTTACGTAGGTGCTGTGCTGTGCTGTGCTGCTTCGCTTTGCTTGTTCTCTGTTGGCGGGGGCGGGGAGAGGGGCCATTGATGTAATCGTACAGGCATTAGCTGGCCCGAGCACATTGGGTGTCTACATCTATCCGTACAGGTACAAGCGCGCCAGCATGTATTCGTGGCTCGGAATTCGTACAAGTACATCGTCTCGGATGGTTGGTACCTTACAGCGCAGGAAATGGAAGTGGGTAGGCAGGCACGATGTAGGTTCCTAGCAGCCCGACGAGCGCGGCAGGGTACATCCGTCGCGACCGCTTACATAACAAGCATGCCAGACCTGCCACCCGAAGCAACCCAAAGCCAAAAACCACGGCCGTCGGGTTGCACAGAAATACAGCGGGAAGCCTGATTCAATCCGCCCAAAGCGGGTCCCTTTCCTGACAGATACCTTGGCAGTATGTACGTACCTAGTAAGGTCCGGCCATCAGCCATAGCATAGCCACAACGACTTGCGTAACGCGGCGACAGCTTGTCATGTGCGTATGCGATTGCCTGAGTGAGCGAGCGAGCCTCCGTCTTGCGTAACGCGCCAACGTACATAGTACGTACGTACGCCCAGTCGCAGTCTATCATTTTCGCATGTACAGGTGTATATCCAGTATTCGCAGCATCTGCCCGTCCGTCTACTTATAAACGAGACGACTCGGAGACGTGTTTGCAAACATAACTCGGGCCCATGCAGGCAGTCAATATCCTCCTCCTCCACCCGCACGTGGCTCGCCAGGCACCGAGACACATATGGTCTGCGAATCCACGAGTCCTTTGCAGAACCGACATGTGTGCAACCCAATAGTACATTACCACATTGCTTCTTCGTGGGTCCGCCTCCTTCATGTGGCCCGCCTGCTGCTGCTGCTGCTGCCTCTCCACCGTTGTCTCTCTCGTCTGGCCTCACATGGCCCAACACGCCTGCCCGACCTTGGAGCAAGGTGCCCGATCAACATACTACAATACTACGGATACCTACGCTTGCTGCCTGTGGTTGTATCCCACCCCGACTTACACGCCCGTGCTCCCTTGCCCTGATTGCCTGTTAGACCCCTCCCCCCCTCGTCCGTAGGCCGATTCAGGCAATGTTCTGGAACCCCCAGGTGCAGGGAATGAGGGGAGTACAAACATCTACCTGCCTACCTACCTACACTACCAGTTAGGTACGGAGTACACCACCTACCGTATGTACATAGTAGGTAGCTAAGGTAGCAACAAAATGGGGATGTCACCTGGTAACGAAGGCTTGTCATTATAATGCACTGTGTAAACATACCTACTGAGCGTGATCACATACAGTACCAAAGGTAGAAATGCACAGTCCCCGCTCCCCCCACCTCGAATTTTCTGACGTCGATGCAGTCAGTCACCATCACACTGGTCATGAACATCCAGCTCAACGTCTTGATCTTGAGCTTCACATAACTCAGGATTCGAGCAAGCATCTCGAATCCCCGAGTAGCGTACCGCCATCCCGGGAACCCTTCTCATCCTTCCAGTCTCACTCAGAAATCACCATGGCCGCCGTCTGCAAAGCCTGCGAGGACCCCCTCGTCATCGTCCTCGAACCCGAGAGCGACGACGAGGGCCACGCCGCCGACGACACCCAGACCGTCCCCGACGACCTCGAGCTGCCTTGCGGCTGCCACTTCCACTGGTGAGAAAGAAAGCCCAACTCGGACCCAGAGGAGACTCGCTCACCCATTCAAACAGGCAATGCCTCCTGGACCTGTCCCAGGACATCGCCATATCCCTCAACTGCCCCTCGTGCCAGAAGTACCTCCCCTCAAACACCCAGGGCCCCTCCGTCACAAACCCCTTCCTGAACACCCCGCCCGGCACCGCCATCCTTACCCGCTACGTCAACGAGGGCGGCCTCCAGGACGCCCTTGACATCCTCCCCAACATCACCGAGGAGGCCTACCTCGCCTCCAACCCCGACGCCCGTCCCGCCCGCGCCTACCACCTCATGTGCGCCGAGGGCGACGTTCAGGGTGTCGTCGACCTGCTCCAGGACGCCAACGAGGAACTCGCCGGTGACGTCGCTCAGCTCGCCCAGCTCATCCGCTACCAGGATCCTCTCGCCGGTGGCATGAGCGCCCTGCACCTCGCCCTCGACAAGGAGCACGAGGAGGTCGTCTGGCTGCTGCTCTGGATTGCCTCGCCCCTACCCACCGACCTCTTCCCCGTCTCGGCCCGCCAGGCCGCCGAGGCCCTGCAGATTGTGCGCCTGACCAACGACACCGCCGAGGATATCCGTGCCCTACGCACCGACGCCGGCCAGACGGCCGAGGACGTCGCCAGGACCAAGCCCGCCCGTTGGGGAGCCTTGGTCGACGCCGGCATCCTGCGCGCATGAGTAGTTTGAGCAGTTTAAGCAGCTAAAAACAAACAGAAAAACGACCAAAAGATACCCCCCAGTGCGTCTTCTAGTGGAAAAGAATTTTTTTTTTTTAAAGTCTCCAGATACGAATGGGTCACTTGAAGAAATGTATGCTTCTATTTTATGAAATAAAAACAAAATCCTCGTAATCAACCGACTTGCCCCGCCCAGCACGTCTGATTTGAAAGTGAAGGAAGAAAAAAAAAGGAAAAAAAAAAGTCTATCTGCGGTCTGCCCGCGATCTGTTAGAAAGAAGCTGTGAGAGGATAAAGTGGCTAACGTCCTCGTCAGACCAGTAACTCATGTGCGAAGCAATCGTGTTCATCGGGTTGAAGTCCAGGACGCTCCTGTTGGGCTTGTCAGTACACACCGTCGAGCGCTCGCCTCATGGCTGAGAGAGGGGGTAGGGGGTCTCTTTCCCTCTCGACTTACTCCTGAATACTGTAATCCACACGCCCGTTGCGATTAAGAGCACGCACCTTCATCTCCTCCCGGCGCAGCTTCTGCGCCTTACGCTCTGCCTCGATCCAGTCCGCCCTGCCGCCATCGTCGTCGTCCGTCTTGGGCAGATCCATGCGCTTCTCCTGGAACTTGGAGTAGAGCGTCTCCAGCTCGTCGTCAATCAGCGTCATCTCGTTGCCGCTGATGCTGGTACGCCCGACCATGGCCTTGGAATCCGCAAGCTGTTTCTTCCGCTCGTTGGTCTTCGCCTCCAGCTTCGACACGTCCGAGATCACGCCGCCGTCGGCAATGTTGGTCCCCGCTCCAGAAACCTGAGATGGAGCATTCGCCGAGTTCATCTTGGCTACGTCTTCGTTGCTGAGGCCCAGACTGCGGTTGAGCAGGTTGCTCGCGATCCCTGCGCTCAAGCTAGACCACAGCCCGCTGACGCTCTGTCCAACCTTCATGCCGATACCTGACAGACCTTGCTGGGCCACGTTGCCAAAGATGCCCTTCTTGGTGTACGGCAACACCTGGGGCTTCAATGTCGACATGGCAGGTGAGATCAGGGGCTCTAGCCTGTAGCTGATGGGGTCTGAGGGATGAAAGATGTTGAAGAGCTGCGAGGCCTTGGGCGATGACACGGAGTGAGGGAGCCCGGTAATTGCAGAGATCCTGTGGGCTGGAGTTGATGGCGTCGCCGCCAGAAAGGGGTCATCCATCAAATCTGGATTCAGAGGACTTTCCGACGGACGGGCGTTAGCGAGGTGGCGAGCTGAAATGGTCCTTCAACGAGGTCAGCGTGCGGTCTCGTTTAAGTGACCTCGGTCAACTTACCGTCCCTTGAGCATCTGGAACAAGCCCACCGGGGATCCTAGGCAGTAAAAGTCTTCCACGTCGAACTCGAACCGGAGCTCATTGGCCTCTCGATCCCGGGAACCCTGGGCCTTCTCCTGTGATGGCCAGAAGCGGAGAGGATTCCGGGGGCTCTCCTGCCCTTTGGGCTTCTCCTTCTGCCGGCATAGGATGTCGAATATGATGGCGGAGCCGAGAGAGTGCCCTACAATATGGACCTTGCCCTTGAATTCTGGATTCCGTTCAAGGAACAGCTTGTAGATTCGATTGGATTCTTTCAGCACAATCTCCGAAATCTGTTCCCTGTAGGCACTTTGGTAGAGCAAAACATCAAGCGCGAGGTCGGAAATCAGAGACCTAGCGAAAGCCACACCTTCGATGGTGATATCCTCAAGGGAAGGGTCTGGATATCGTTTGTCAGATAACTTGCCGCTGAAATAATAAGGCCGCCAGAACTTACACTCGTCCTCGTCTAGAGCGGCATCACCAATGTCTAGCTCGTTCTTCTTCTCCCGTCTCTTGGGGAAGTCGAGGAGATGCCTCCAGCACACAGGCAGAACCTGCACGCGGCAGTTTCTCTGGCCATCTTCGAGCTCCGAGTTCAGAGCCCGCAGGTCCGCAGAGCTGGAGTATACGGATTTGAAGTTTTTGCGCAGGACATTGACGTCGTGAACAAAGTTGATGCTTTCCATGCTGCTCAAGTCAGTCCTGGAGCTCCTCGCGCCGTAGCCGAGACTTACCGTATACTCAGGAGTTGGCCAATGCCGTGCGTGACGAGAACCAGATGCTCGATTTCGCGTCCTTGAGTTTCGCCAAGCTGGCCGTTGTAGTCGTTTTCAATCTCCTTCTCCTCGCGTTTCCGAATCTCCTCTTCCTGCTCCTCTTGGTTCCGCTCGGCTCCCTCCATTAGTGACGAGATCTGCTGTTGAAGGGAGTCCTCCTCGTTGCCGTTCTTCTCGGCACGTGAGAGGTCGTCATTGGACTGAAACGGCGCGGAAGCAGGCGGCGCAGATCTCCTCTTGAGCAGCTTTTGCTGTTTCTCGTCAAGCTGTGAGGTGGCAGTGGCATCAGTAGGGGTGGACGGCTGCTTCTCCTTCTTGTTTTTGGCCACATCGGAATAGCCCCTCACCAGCTTGACACCACTCATGAAACCGCCCCCCGAGAATCTTTCGTACATGGTGGAGGTCACCCATGAGAGCATGCTGTCGGACGTGAGCCATGCTGTGCTTGCGTCCTGATACGTGGCGATGCTGTTCATCCAGGCGCCGAACAAGCGGTGCGACGACGGCTGGTGCTGGCTTTGAGGTCCAAGTACTTTGCTGCTGCTCTCTGTGGTTGGAGTTGTTGGGGCGGCGGTCTTGAGGTTGTCGAGGGACGCTTTCGGGGTCACGCCCTTGGTTTTCGTGTCCTTGTTCTTGGAGTCACTGCGAACCCTCGGGTTCGGGTACATCCAGGGCTTGACCTTGAGGTAGCCCTCCTCCAACTGCGAAGCCAGATTCTCTTCACATGGCCGTAAGGACGAGCCTTCTTCATAAAACCAGGTACCGCGGCGGACTTCGTAGACAGGGCCGAGCCAGTAGACGGGGGATAGCTCTCGGTTTTCGATGTCGACGTCGAAAAGATAATCTTCGTGTACGGGAACCCGTGTTTTGGGGCCCTGGGCACCTTCGGGGCTGGTCTCCAAGCTGCTGTGGTTGCTATCTTCGTCGGTATCCCTGCGGCCACGGCGCGAGCCCGCCGACACGTTCCGCAACGACCGGTCGCCTCTTCTCTTCTCCGAATCTTCAAGCAGGCGCTGGTATGTAGCCTCGATAGCGCGTGAGTCTAGCTTTGAAAAAGGAACGAACTTCTTGGGCTGGGGCGGAGGCTTGGCATCATCGGCAGGTTTCGATTTGTCTCGGAGAAACTGGGGTTTGCGCTTGGGTACCTGGCGGAAGTATGTGAGCAAGACGAATGGCCGTTTGTTTGGAGAGGGGGGAGAGTGGGCTATGGGGTGGGCGCCCCTACATCAGTTGCGTGGTACCAGAGCACGTTCAGAGGAGGACAGTCGGCGGGGTAGCTCTTGATGCTCTGGCCGTACAAATGGGTGATGCTGTGGTCGCCAGGGCGGGAGTTTTGACTCTGCACGGGGGGCGGAGGAGGATCCTTGGGGGTCTGGGTTGGTGTTGTGCTCCGGGCGCCGGCCCACGGGTTGATGGAGTCGACAGCGGACGACAGGTAGGACTTTTCGGGTTTGCGGTCAGGGCCGCTGGGAGCCATGGCTTGCGACTGGGCCGAGTGCCATGCGGCGAAAGTGTGACGGGATGACCAACAAGGGCGAGAGGCGGTGGTGTTGACGTGGCAGAGGTTCGACGGTTTGTAATGTCGTCCCCAAGCCTGGCTGGAGCGATGGACGGTGGACGCCAACTTGACAAACGCAAGGCAGGGAGGAGGAGCACTTTATCTTTATCGGTGCATGAACGTCAGGGCGACCGAGAGGACGGGAGCGTCGGAGTGGACGGCACCGGATTGTAGGTAGGGCGGTCGGTCTCGGAGAGCTGGTTGAGGGCGGGACCCAGGAATGCTGGTTTCAGGCTGGAGTAAGTAACAAGGTTGAGGCGTCGACAACGGGACGGGGCGGGGGAAATGCGGTGTAGTGAAGTATTTGTCTTTGTTAGAGAGTCGAAGAATGCCTATGGGTGTAATGCATGTGAGAGAGGGCGAGAGGAGGCTCTGCTCTCTTTACTATTCAAATGGGGGGACAAGGTGTGCTTTTTGGGACAACCAGGTGAGTCGAGTCCTTTGGTGTAGGTATATTTGTATTGTATGCATGCATGCATGTATGTATGTATGTGTGTGTATGTATATGGATCGGGAGAGACAGCTATAGTCTGACTAGGAACAGGACAGAATACAGGTAGGTAGCTATGATGAAGGGCTCCAGTCATCTGTCTCCAAACCAATCTCCAGTCAGCTGCGGTGTAGTAGCACGAGGGAAGGGAGGTCCCGCGTCCAGGGACCCCATGACGCACTTTGAAGTCCCGTGTCGAATAAATGGAAAGAGAGCAGCAGACACGCAGGCAGGTAAGGACAGACAGACACTTACTAGTAGGTAGGTGGGCAGGTAGGTAGGCAGGTACCTGGGTACCTTGAGGAAATGGGTGATCGCGGGGCAGCTGCAGCTCCAGCTGGAAAGGCACCCCATCGTACCTAGGTACCTTGCCTACCTCCCTTCCCTTAGGTACCTGCCTGGATCCTAGGGAGGTGCGTAAGTACGTACCTCTTTGCCCGCTTTATGCTTCATGGAAACTCACCCCCACTGGCTTACCTCATCTCCCGCCACAAGCGAGGAACCTGCACCCTCCAATCTTTGCACCTTTGTGACACGGAGCTGGGCCACCACGGTACCAATGTGGGTGGGGCGAGCTGCGCTGCGTTTTTCGATGGTGGGGTACGACCTGCACGCAGTACCAGTACATCCCTCTTTGCACGTCCCGCGCCGCCTCTCGTTGTGCCTGTCTCCGTCTCGTCAAAATTTCCAGAAACCATCTCCAATTCAGACGACGCCGACTGAACAACCAACCAGCCAACCAACCCCAAATGACCGCCTTGCCTTAGCACTCTTGTCGTTCAGACTCGATATCCTCCTATCCGATCCTCTTCCTAATTGTTGGCCGCCTACGATCATGACCCAGCCACGAATGCGCAAATCCATCCACATCCATTTCAGCCGGTAGACTTTGACCCCTCCGACCGAGGCCTTGACTCACCTGCCGACAACGCCGCCACCATCACCGCCAC